CTGCCTGCCCCCTTTAAAAACAGACATGGAGGTGAGTGTAGTCTCTGCAGAGGGTATAACACGAGCAAAGGCACTGAAGTAGGGGGTAATGTATGAACCAGCTCCCATCTATGAAGTTCAGACCATGAGATGGGCCTCCAGCCGGCCTCACTGCACGTTTCGCTCAGTCCTACTCAACCCGGGAAGGTAGCCTCCTGCACATTAAAGGTGTCTTAAGAGGGAGGAAGGGAGGGTGGGAGACTCTAAAAGGAACCTGTGTAAAGTCTCATGGCTCCCAGGTGGCAGAGTTGGGGTGAGCACCCCAGTTTGATGTAGCCATGGAGAGATGAGTCCAAGAATGCTCAGAGCAGCTTTATTCATACCCTATAGATATATTGTAACTTCGTGGATAAACCTCAACAATATTATGTTGAGTGAAAAACCACACACAAGCCCTGACTATTTGGTTCAGTGGATAGAGAGCCGGGCTGCAGATTGAAAGGTCCCAGGTTTGATTCTGGTTGGGGCATGTACCTTGGTTGCGGGCACATTCCCAGTGTGGGGTGTGCGGGAGGCAGCTGATCGATGTTTCTCTCTCATCGATGTTTCTAGCTCTCTATCCCTCTCCCTTCCTCTCTATAAAAAAATCAATACAATATTAAAAAATATATTAAAAGAAAAAAATAACCACACACAAGACTAGGCACCATATGCTTCCGTTCACATGAACTTCAAAGAATAGGCCAAATGAACGTGGTGACGGAAATGACAAAGTGGCTGCCTGAGGGGACTGGCTGTTAGGACTCCCAGGGGCACTCATGTCATATGTGCCTGTGTGGTCTGAATCCTGTATAATGAGCATGTGTTTTTTTGTAAGCTCCCAAACAATAGACACTTTAAAAACAGGATTCTCAGTTTACAACACACACAGTCCAGTCCAGAGGCCCTTACTGGACCTAATGATGGGTCAGGCCTCGGGATGGGGGGAGAGGCAGCTTCTATGTAGGGGAAGAGCAGAGGATGTACAGGCAGGGAGACCACCTGCTGTGTGGCCTTGGGAAAATCAAGGACCGTATCTGAGCCTTATTCTTCTCCTTCACAAACATATGACAGTATCTATGAGAGGGCAGTGAAGGAACAGATGTGGAGGTCTGGGCTGAGGTCATGCCTGGGTGTCATCTCACATGATCCCGGATCAGTCCCTTACGGTGGGTACCGTGAGCATCTCCGTTTTATAGAAGAGGAAACTGAGGCTCTGAGAGGTGGACTGGAAAGTCCAGGTCATACTAAGAGTAGGCAGCATGCAAATTCAGTCTGGGTCCCAGGTCAGAACCCTGAGCCCAGTCCTGTCTACTCCCCCCTGCCCACCCCGACCTGTGTCCAGATGGGGGTGTCACTGTCTAGACTTGACGGTCGCCTCTGTGGCTCCTGTGTTTGTCATTTGTCTTTCCCACTACAAGGACAGGTCCACCGGGCAGGGGCTTTGCTTTGCTCACTGCCATGTCTCAGCAACTACAACTGTGCCTGGCATAGAGCAGGTGCCACATGACCATTTGCTCAGTGAATTGGTGGAAAAAATGAAAGCATTCCCTAGTGAAGAACCAAAGAAAGTGGCCTGGGGCTCATGGAGGTAAAGAGGCAGCCCTTCAAGGTCACAGGGCTGAACAGGGCCTGGGCCAGATCGCTCACTCCCAGCAAGCCCGGCCTCTCCCAAATACAACAGCCCGGGTTTGTCCACACCGCTGTCCTCTGTCAGCGGAGACACAGGAAGAAATCGGTCTGGTGCAGGGAAGGGTCAGGACAAAAGGGAAGATGCTCCAGTGATTTCTGGAGGACTTTTGCCTGCAGTGCCATTCATGCCTCAGTTTCTCAATCTGGAAGAGGAACACCTGTCACCACACTGACATGAGTTGGAGGATTCAGGAGCAGAATTGGTTCTTCCTGCCTCTTGGCTCCTCAGGAGGGGCTGGGTCGACCTGAGATGGCTGAGGTGCAGAAGGAATGGGGTCGTGTTATTAGAAGGTACCACCCACAGAGCCTCAGGGTCAGAGCTGGGAGGCCCCTCGTTTTCCTGACACCATCACTATAGACCAGACGGGAGCCCAGAGGCCCTGAGAAGAGAAGGACCTGACCAGGAGGTGGAGGAATCCATGGCAGCTCCGACTGGACAAGGTGTTGCCTTCTCTCTGCTCGCTGAGCCCAGGTGACAGGAGACAGGCTCTGTTTTCCCACGTAGGTATCCATTTGTACCCATTACTGTTTCCTGGCCATGGGAAGCCAAGATTCTACATGGATGAGATTGACAGACAGGCCAGGTAGGGCCGCCAGTTCTGACCACAGCCCTGGCCTCCGAACATGAGCACAGTCATCATGACACGGGCTCCGGAAGTATCTGCTCGGACACAGGCCTGGACCATGTGCTGGAGGCCCGTGAGAAGTCCATGGCCACTGGGTCCCACTAACTGCCACTGCTGGTCGGGAACCTGGCCGGCACCAGGCCTAGCTTCTCAGGAGCCAGATGAGGCCGATAGGAGAGGTGGAGCAGGAGGCAGCAGGTGTGGGAGCCGGAGCGTGGGAGCTGACAGCACAGCGTCTCTGCTATTAGACTCCGTGTGGCTCAGGAGCCTGGGGCCTGGGCCTCCAAACAAGAAAAGAGTCCTGCGAGGTGTCTAAAACCCACATCAGTCTAGGTAATTACCAGTTACAGCCACTCTCACTGAGAGTTCTGCTAGTGCAATTAGTGTGTCAGTATAAAGAGGTCCCTCTGTCAGCTGGCTGGGCCCGCCCACAGCTGGGCTTCCACGGAACAAGGACCAGCTTGTTGCTCCCACAGGCCTGAGATCTTATGGGACACAGAGATGGTGGAGGAAGAAGCTGCGGTTGATGACATGGACATGCTGTGTGGCCTGGGCTGGCCATTCAACCTCTCTGAGCCCATGAAACGAGGCTGGTAAAACAGCTTCGCATGGAGCTGCATGGGTGAAACAAGGAGTTCTAGAGCTATGGATGTTCAAATGCTGGTTTTCATTCTAAAAATTAGTGGAAACGCCTTTGTCTGGCTTTTAAAATCTGTTTCTGGGTTTCACGTGTGTATAACACACCTGGGGACGTTCCTGTCACATCTGACCCAGGGCTGGGCAGTAGCTGGGAGGGACCTGAGTCAGCGGCGAGGCCCAGGTTCACCCTCAAAGAAGGGGCTGACTTTCTGCTCCTCCCAAGTATCAACCAGTCACACCACAACTCCGGGGATGCACTGGTCACTAGGGCCCTGTACAAGGAGGGGCCTGAGGCTCAGAGAGGGGCGGCAGTGGCCTAAGATCACACAGCAGAGTCAGGAGGGAGCCAGGTCTTCCTGAGCTCAGGGCCCTGCTTGATTCACAGCAGCAGCTCCCATTAGGGCTGTGCACGCCTTGGCCCAGGGGATGCCGGCTGAAGCAGCACATGGGCTGGGCGGTGACTCACTCTGGAAGATGGCTCCCTGGGGGGCATTTTCCCGGTGACTCCATCCACAGCTCATCTTGGTCCCGAGCCCTGGGTCAGCTTGTCCCAAGTACAGAGCTCCAGCCTCAGTTCCACACACTCCCTGTCCCTAGTCCCCACCCTGCCCTCTAACCAGGAAGGCAGCATCCAGAGCCAGTGACCCAAGCCCTGTGCCTGGCCCTGGGCTCTCTGCAGAAGCGAACAGCGGCCTCCGACTGCTCACTGCCCCACCTCAGCCCACCGCCAGCCCTCCCTGGCTGACCCTCTTCCTGCCCCACTGCAGGAAGCAAATGGCTGAGGACCTCACAATTCCTGCTGCTGCTCCATCCCCTGGGTTCCTCTGCCTGGACCACTCTGAAAGCTCCCTCCACCCTGAGAGCCTGGTGCCCCGACAGCAGAAATGCCCTTAAGGACCAGTAGTCCCAACCTGGGCCTGCCTGGCTGGGCACGGAGAGGCCCTGGTGTCCTGGGCGTGACAATGCCTCTCCCAGCCTCACTGTCCTCCTCTGGGACGAATATCCTGGCTGTTCCCTGGGCTCTTGGGAGGACTGGGTGAGGCTGTAGGTGGGGGGAGGCTGGTGGCCTTGGCAAAGGTCCTCCACCTGCTCCCAGCCCCTCAGCTCTCCCACCTCGAGCTGAGCTATAGTTCTTGGGCCCCCAGGTCCAGTCTGGTGTCTTTCTGAGCCCAGGCCCCTGCCCATCACTGGCCACAGACAGGAGGCAGAGGGGACAGGGGACAGATAGCCATGACTGCACATTAAGGAGAGTTTAAAATGGAGAAGGATATTTCTGAGAACTTTAAGGGTAAATGGCTCCAGATCTGGCTGCAGAGAGGAAAGCCGGGCTTTGCCTGGGAGAACAATGAGGGTCCACGCTGCCCACCGGGCCACTCCACAGGCCTGGACACTCGCTGCCTGTGAAGCCGTGTCCCAGGCTCCGGGCGTGGTGACGGGACCACAGACGCCCCCCTGAGCTGAGTCCAGGCCTTCCCACCGGACTGACCGCCACAGCGCCGCCTACAGGCTGCCGGGCGGCCGCTGTGGACCCAGGACCCGGGCTCTCCTCTCCCCGTCATCTTGGTGCTGTGACGGGCGTTCTGCCGTGAACTTTGTCCCTCTCCCCGGCTGCCCTATCTCAGCGACAGCATCACCGCTGTTTACTCATCGTCTCCGGGACCAGCCTGTCTTCCTGGCACTGCCCAGTGCACCTGCCGCCCCGGGATTCCGCCTCTGGGTGTGTTTGGCGGCGGTGACGGTACTTGCCCCGGGACTCCAATTCCTGCGTCCGCCCCGACGGCCCACGGCTCACCGGCCCGCCCCTCAGACCCGGCCCCGCGGACCCGGGGCTCCCGCTCCCCGCCGGGCACCGCTGTCCCCCTCACGGCCCCCCGGTCCCCGCCGGGCACCGCTGTCCAGGCTGGGCGCCGTCCCCGCCGCCGTGCTCCCGCCGAGGGGCCGCCCGGGGCGGACCGGCTCCCGCCCCGCACGCGCCGCCTCCGGAGCCCCGGCCCCGGGGTCCCGCCGCCCCGGAGCCGCACTCACCCACGTTGACGAAGCTCATGACCAGGTCGGCGCGGCCCAGGCGCCGCTCGCGGGGGCCGCCGTCCTCGTCGTCGTCGCCGGCCATGGCGTGGTAGAGGTCCAGCATGAAGAGCGGCGCGGACGCGGGCAGCCGGGCGGCGGCGGGCGGCGCGCGGGGCCGGGGGCGACCGGGCAGCCCGAGCACCGCCAGGATCTCGCGCTGTAGGTCGCGGCGCTCGCGCGGGCCCAGGCGGCGGGGCGGGCCGCCGGGCGGGGGGCGCGGGCCGGGGCCGCCGCCGCTCAGCGCGCACAGCGCCAGCCCCAGCAGCCACAGCGGCCCGGGGCGCGCGGCCATGGCGGGCGGGGCGCCGCGCTCACCCGACGGGCATCCGCTGCGCCGCGGCCCGGGCGGAGGCTCCCCCGACGGCGCGCGGCGGCCGCGCTGGGGGTCGCGGGACGGACGGGCGGGAGTTGCCCGCGGCGGCAGCGCGGTCCCCGGAGAACCCGCGCGGCACCTGTCGCGGCGCTGGGCCGGCGGCGTGGACGCCAACACCGAGTCAGAAGCTCCTCGGGGACCGCGGGCCGCGGCCACTGTGTCTGCGCCGCCGCCGCGCAGTCCGGGCGCTCGGGGCGGTGCGGGCCCGCGAGCTCCCTCAGCACAACCCGCGGGCTCTGCCGGGCGCCCGTCGGCGGCCAGGTCCGGCGTCCGGCTTTCGGGTCCCGCCCAGGGCCTCGCCCCCTCCGGGACTGACCAATGGGGCGCGGTGAGGGGCGGGGCCAAGGCCGGGAACCCACCTACCCGGTGAGAGCCGGGCGCTGTCATTGCCCTTGTGGGCGGTGCGCCCGGGAGGTGCGACCTGGTGGGCGGTGGGCAGATCCGACCGGGGCACGAGGTCCAGCTGTCGGGTCGTCAGGGTCGTCCCAGGCGCCCTCGCAGCCGCTGGCTGCGCCATCGGGCGGTTCGGGGCCGCTGTCCGAGGGCTTAGGGTAGCGGCCGGGTCCGGAGAAACCAAGAACCTGCTCTCCCGCGGGGCGTGTCCTTGAGCGCCCCCGCCAGGTGGAACCCTGAGTCTAGGTCTGGCCAGAGGATGGCTCGGCAGCCCCGCCTCTGTGCGCTGTGCAACCCCAGAACCCGAAATGAGGCCTCATTGCCGTCTGGAAGGGCTCCGTGGGTGCCTGGGCTCTTAGGAGCCTCCCTCCACCTACAGTCTCACCCAGTCCTTCTAAGAGCCAGGCCCGGAGAATGGGTGCCTTCTTCCGCCAGCACAGCTGAGCCCAGGATCCCCGCCTCCGCAGCTCCTGGCCGGCCTCCCAGCGCCTTCCCTGCAGTCCTTTTGGGTGCGTCGTCGTTTAGAGCTTCTCCTTCCTGGAAGCATGCTCTATCGCTGCTGCAGGGACCCCCACCCTCCTGACTCCTGCCAGCGCTGCAGGCCGCCCCCTTGCCCGTCCTGTCTTCCACCTATTTATGAGTCCAATCTCCTGGGCTGTGCCTGGTGCACCCGCCTCCAGCCCTGCCAAGGAGCTCCGGGACCCCTCCCCAGGCCTGGGAACCGCCTTGGCACCATCTTAATTGTCAAGGCCCTCAGTGGCTTGCAAGAGGAGGCTCCTCAGGGAAACTCCAGGATCGACTTGTGTGGAGAGAAAGGAGTCACATACTAAACCTGACAGTCAGGGGAGGCCCGCATGCGAGCCTTCAAACTGAGACTGAAAGTAACCACATAGGATGGTCTGAACATAAAAATTCCCAAGAGTTGGTGATGGCTTGTAGTCACATCGGAGCTAATCCTGTAGTTTCCTTGATTTGACAAAGGTCAGTCTTTACGTAAGTGAGCTGGGTATTGTCTTTTTGCATAAAATAATATACCTTTGAAATGTCAGAGTAATTTATTTTTCCAGATACCCCACCCCCACCCCATGTCACACCCACCGCACCTGTTATCTTCCCCAAATACCATTTCTATGTGCTGTAAATGTTAATTATGAACTATCCTGTATCCACCAATGTAAAATATATGTCTGTTTTACTTTTTATCCAATCCCAGAGATTTCTCCTGCTTTGCTTCTCTCACCCCTTCATCTGCCATCAATGAATTTCATGTATTCCTTTTTATGTCTCCTTCTTTGATTCTAATGTATAAAATAATCTACAGAACTACTAGTAACCAGAAAAATTTTCTCAATTTGTTAAACTTTTGCTTCGTGGCAATTGTCATCTGTTTGACGCAAATAAGCTCATTAAAATTCTCTACAGGTTTGGGCATTCCTTATGTCGATAACAGTTTCCTTACACATAGACTGCTCTTCTCTAGGCACGTTCTCGGTACATTTGTTCATTTATGGAAAGGTGCTGTGCTGGGGGCAGGTATCGACCATTGGTCGGCAAACTGTGGCTCTTTGGCCCCTTGAGTGTAGCTCTTCCACAAAATACCACAGCCTGGGCGAGTCTATTTTGAAGAAGTGGCATTAGAAGAAGTTTAAGTTTAAAAAATGTGGCTCTCAAAAGACATTTCAATCGTTGTACTGTTGATTTTTGGCTCTGTTGACTAATGAGTTTGCCGACCACTGTGCTAGACTGAGCTCAGAAGGCTGGAAGGAGTGGGTGGGGACCATAGAAAAGGTCAGTGGGAGGAAAGTGTTCCAGGAAGAGGAAGTAGCTTTAGGCCATGAGATTGAAGGGAACAAAACAGCAATGGCAGGTGACTACTTGCACTCACATGTGCCAGGTATTGTCTGTACCACTTCACTCTCGCACATTTAAACCCCTCTTCTAACAGAGGAGGAGCCGGAGGCACACAGGGTCGAGGGATTGCCCCTTATCACACAACAGTGGCGCTGGGTGGGACAGGTGTGCTGCTCAGTAGAGCCTGGAGAACCTGGGGGTCAGATGGCAAGGCTGAGGGTGAGGCTGGAGGGGTTGGCAAGCCTTAGCCGCAAAAGGCCTTGCGGGGAGGCCAGATGAGGGCTCTGGACACCATATGGGTATGGTGCCCCAATGTGGATTCAAGATTGAACCTCAAAATAAATGATGTCCAATAGAATTCACATTTTTCCATGATCACTTCAAACTTTTAGAAATATCAAATCTTAAATCTAAACAATCATTTGTTGGAGGCTTAAGCGCATGCCTAGTCTGTCTGCCTTCTCCCCAAAAAGAAAACTCCTAGTTTGTAAACCTGGGTAAGAGCGTCTGGGGCAAGACCAGAGTCTGGATGCAGAGGGAACTGGGGATCGGAGGGAGGGAGACTGAAGTCAGGCCCACGGTACAGTAGTGGGAAAGGCGTAGAGGAATGACAGTGATCCTCTAGTGGTGATGGGGTGGAGGGCAGATACTGGTTAGAAGGCTGAATCCACAGGACGTGGTGACTGCACACAGAGGCAGGGCGTGTCCCCGTGTCAGGCATGGTCAGGGTCTCTGAAGCTCCTGCCCTTCACTGTTCCAGGGCACCCCTCGCCACCCCTTCTTTGAGTCCACATCACCTGGGGACTGGGATGGAGCCTGTACTTCTCAGATGGTGTATTGCCCACTGCTGGGCTCCTGGATAGACTATGAACAGCTCAGTGGGGGGCAATTCTTGTAATGGCAGAAATCATTCATCTGAATTTGAGTGAAGATAGCTTTGTTCTTTAAGCTATAGCTTCACATTCCCATAAACCAATGGGCTGCTCTGGGCTGTGCAGAGATGAAGCTAACCAGCAGCCCCCAATCTAACAAGGATGATAAATGAGCAGTCTTTTCTGAAGGCAGAATGAAAGCTGTGCTCCGACAGAGGGGCTGGCAAATGCCTGGAAGGGAAGGGGAAGTTGGGGTGGCGATGAGTGGAAGCCTGGGACTGGAAGGTAACTGAGGTAGGGAAGGCTCTTTGGAGAAAGTGCATTAAACAAGGGCTTTCCCAGCCACTTGGCAACTTTGTGACCTTGGGCAAGTTGTTTAGCCTTTCTCACCTATAAATGGGGCTCCCGATTGTAGGATTGTGATGGGAATTAAATGAGTGTACATCACGTAAAACAGTGACTGGCATATAGTAAACAATGATAGCTGTAGTTCTTCAAGGCAGGCCCCAGGAACTCCTATCCACCCTCCACCCACCAAACCTGCAGGACTTATTTAGCGCTTGTCCCAGAACCGTAATTTCCCATTCACCAACCCCTTTTCTGGTATCCTTATATTTCTCAGTCTTGCACACAGTTGTTTGCTGGATGGAAATACACTTTCTGGAGATTCCACCAGTAGCTCAGCTTTGTCACAACAACTGAGCATGGAAAACCTGTGCCCTTGAAGAAAAACAAGTGCCCATGGTCCAGACTCTAAACAGATGGAGACAAAGCTGTTTTCAGCACATTTCTGCAGCCAGGAGGCTGAGAGGGGGAAGCAAGTGTGGGTGAAAATGCTGTCCTACACGAAGTCCTGGCATCTTACTCCATTCCATGGAGGACAGAGTAAGCACGCCCTTCTGAAGCTGTCAGGCTTGCAGATCCTTTGACTCTGGGTACTTAGTCTCAAACAGCTTTGGCAAACATGGTCCATTTTACCAAATTCCCGAATCACAAGATCATGGCCTAGTGAGTCAACAGGTGTGTGAGTTTGAACCCCTCTGGTTTTCTGTTTATTTCCTGGGCTAATTCCCATTGTTGCAATTAGTATTTGGCTATTGTACTGTAGTTATAAAGTCAAGGGGGGGGGGCTGGAGGAAGCAGAACTGCAGGACTTGAATCGAGTCATAGGTTAGAATCACTGCCCATGTTTGCCATTTATTCATCCTGTGACCTCAGAAAAAAGCCCTTTCTTATCCCAGTTTCTTCCTATGTAAAACAAAGGAGTTAGATTTGATGACCAATTTTGCTTCCATCTCTGAAACTGTCATTTAACCAGAGATTCCAGTATACTATGGGAAATCGGCCCCATTGTCTCAAACCCCAGGATCTCTGTGATTTTTCCCCCGTTAATCCTCTGAGAATATTTTCCCATTAATTTTTAGAGAGCGTGGAAGGGAGGGAGAGAGAAATATCGATGCAAGAGAGACACATCAATTGGTTGCCTCCCACATACATCCTGACAGGGGCCAGGCATCGAGACTGCATCAAGGTACATGCTGTACCTGCCATCACTTTGTCCCCTTTCTGGGACCCTTCAGTCCACAGGCTGATTCTCTATCCACTGAGCCATACCAGCGAGGGCAGGGTCTCTGTGATTTCTACCATAGAAATCTTCTTACATATCAGTATTTGTTTAATCACTTAAATGGGACAGATTCCCTACAAGTTTACATTAATAGCATGATTATTTCTTTGTTGTCTTGTTAAATAAAATTAATGATAAAACAAACAAGAAAAAAAATCTATTAATAAGCTCCATAATTTATCCATCACGACATTTTGATTCCAATAATGCATTCAAGTACCGAAAACACAATCAGATCCCAGAGTAACATGTTATATATTATATAAGGGAATGGTTGAAAAGAAAATCAGGAAATATAAAATGTTAGTTACTGCAAGCAATTTTAATACAAAAGTGTCTTGTTTTTAAACAGTTCATTGGTAGAGCTTCAGTTTCTGCCTCAATTAAAACCAATTGAGATAATCACACAGCAACGTGGTCGGAGCTGAAGAGGAACAGCAGCTAAAAAGGAGCCCGGACAGCTCCTCTTCATGGTCACTTGGTCAGTTGACTTTATTACACACAAAAAGAGACGGAAGCAAACGGGACTTGTTAACAGTGTGCTGGTGAGCTCCGTTAAAGGATGAGCAAGTGTTTTATGTCCACATTTTCAGAATAGGCTTGTGGAATTCATTCCTCAGTCTGTGGGAAGTTGATCGACCATTTAAATAAATAGCAAAAAGTGCAGATAAACGAATCGATCTTTCAGAAGCCACCAAGGAATCTCCCCTTGCCGAATGCCTGGGTGTCCCGGTGAGCACAGGAGTTACTGGTGGCCGGGCTGGAAATAAGTTACAAACCAGGACTATTAAAAATCCCGACGTTCTGACGTTTTCTGATCAGTTAGTTACATTCACCCCTGAATTCTAGCAGCTATGTGTCAGAGACAGTATTGCAGTGGAGTTCTTTTGCTGTATCATGTGCAAATGTTACCCAGATGAGGTTCCCTCTTCAGCTAAAATCACACATTAAAAACAATGAAAAAAGCAATTAGAAGTGTCCTCCCCTCAGCTCTAATTGAGGTGTCTGTGATTTACAAAAAGAGTTCCTTAAACACTGCAGGATTGTTACTTTTTAAATATAATTTATCTTGCTGAGACAGCAAGTCAAATTTATAAAGAAGATGCATTTAGGAATAACCCTAAAAGATAAAGCAGGTTTATAACCCTGCACATACAGAAACCCTTAGTGGCTTTTTTTTCTTTCTTTTTTAAATACATATTCTCATCTTGACCTTTTCATTTGTTTTTTCTCAAATATTTCATTTCTGGGCCCCATCCATTATAGGGTTACCAGGAGGCAAATTTTATCTACATAAATATTCACATGAAAATAGTAACTTACAAAAAGAAAAAAAAAATAAGGCAGCTTCATAACACAATTATTCTTTTACACTTTTAACAATATACCTTCTCCCGTTAGAATAAATATACACCCAAAGAATGTATGGAGCAGGATTCAGAGGGGACAGAGGCTCGGGTGCGGATAGTGTTATCGCTTGGGGCCCGGAGTCCTAGGGGAGGCAGTGGCGGTCTTCTTGGACATGGTTGGGATTTTGGACGGCTTGCTCAGGCCCCTCCGGGAGCCGCCCTGGCCACCGGCCGCACTGCTTTCTGAAGTATCCGAACAAGCAGACTGCGTCTCTAAAAGGTCAAAGTCAGAGGCATCGCTTCCTCTCCGGCTGCTGGCTCGACTCCCGGCTCGACTCCCGGCCCGGCTCCCAGGGCGACTGGCTGACTTTTTGGGGTCTGGAATTCAAGAATAAAGCAGCAGCCTTAGCAGAGATGTCAGGTTCTGACCTAATACCTTGTGGCCTTGGGCAAATCATAGCCTTTCTAGACCCCGTTCTCCTCATCTACACCGAGAGGCCAAACCTTTTCTGGCTCTGCGGTTCCCTTGAGAGGCCTGCCTCCCGAGGATCAGAAACCAGCTTTCCTCAGCAGCACTGCTACTCAGCTGGCCCCACGGAGGGTCCAGCTGGAGTAACGTCTGGGAAGACTGAGAATGGGGGCAAAGTGATGGCGAGAACAGTATATGGGATCTTTCTCTGACTCTCTCAGCTCACCAGCGACAAGAATAAATAAGGGCTGTTGGAGAAATTACTAGCAAACTGCCCGTCCCAATACTAACTGGGCTTCTGAGAAGGCCCTGATTCAAGAGGCCCTTTCTTCCTTACTTTCTCCTATTTTTACATTTCTGATGAAGAACAGGTGGCCTGGCTTTGAACGAAGGCCAGTCTGAGCCAGCTGCAGTGCCAGGAGAAGAAGTGAAGGCCAGGGGTGTGCAGGTCTGTCTTTCGGGACTGCAGTTTCCAAATTCCCAGCCTGGCCCCCTCCCACCCCCCTCCCGGTGCACAGGTACTTACCTGCCCGGGTAGTTTTGGCACCTGTGGAGGCTGGGGAAGAACTATTGCTAGTGTCACCAGCAAGGGAAGTTCGACTAGAATGAAAAGCTGGTGTTGGCCGTTTCAACTTGCTGCCTGATGATGGGATAACCTTAAAAAAATAAGAAGATTTTATATACTTGGTGAAATCTTTTGATAGAAACTCAATTTAAAAATTTAAAAGGTTTCCTCATGTTTCATTGATTGAAAAAGCAAATTAAAAGTCCAGGAAAACAAAGATTTATTTTGGAAGAGCCTTGGGTCATGTGTTTTTATGATTCCCAAAATAAAGGTTCATGTTCCAATTTAAAATTTCAAAATGCTTCCAATACCTTTTATCTGACTGACAAATTCCTACTGGAAATGGGGGCGGGAGAATCCACAAATAGTAAAAGCCCAGCACTTAAAAGGGGTTGAAATATGGTAAATAAGTAAAAGAAAAAAATCCAAACAATTCTAAGTAGAATGTTTTGGCGTTAGAAATGTGAGGTCTGAGTTCTGGCCCCAAATATTTTTTTAAAATATATTTTTATTGATTTTTTACAGAGAGGAAGAGAGAGGGATAGAAAGTTAGAAACATTGATGAGAAACACTGATCAGCTGCCTCTTGCACACCCCCTACTGGGGATGTGCCTGCAACCAGGGTACATGCCCTTGACCGGAATCAAACCTGGGACTTTTCAGTCCACAGGCCGACGCTCTATCCACTGAGCCAAGCTGGTTTCGGCTGGCCCCAAATATGTAATATGGAGTTCTGAATACTACTGCACTCCTTGTCACTAGGTAGGTACAGCAACTTCAGTTAAGATCTTTCAGGCTTTTTGAAAAATGTGTTTTTACTGATTTCAGAGAGGAAGGGAGAGGGGGTGAGAGAGAGAAATATTAATGATGAGCGAGAATTATGGTTCAGCTGCCTCCTGCATTCCCTCGCTGCAGGCCTACTGCAGATCAAGCCCACAACCCAGGCATGTGTCCTGACCGGGAATCAAACAGGGGACCTCTTGGTTTATGGGTTAACACTCAATCACTAAGCCATACTGGCCGGGTTGAGTGTTAGTTTTTAAAGACAGTAGCAGACTTACTTTGGATAAAGACTATTTTAAATCTGTTTTAAGCATCATTTCATGCCAGCACATAACAATTCTAATTTTTCCTTGAAATTAATTGGGTGAATTGTTTTCCAGGACCTTTAATATGTCTATACCAATATGAGAATAAAGCACCCATTTCAATGTGATTCTTGTATTTCTTTAATTTACAAAGCAGCAGCAGAAGCGACAGAGTGATTAACATTCCAGCACAAAGGCTCCTGGCCCACACAGGAGGAAGAGCAGTTTCAGAAGCTACCGCCGTGAACATGCTGCCCAGAGGCCGTGCCCCAGAGAATCCAGCTGGGAGTCATCAGGAGGGGCCTGGCCACAGAACACCAACAGGTAAGGAAAGACAAAACCTTGAAATGAAATGAAAGGTAAAACCTTAAGACTAAACAAAAGGCTGACCTAGCAGAATCTTATGAGAATTTATAGTGTATAGTTAACATTTAACATTTTAGAACTTTTAAAACTTCCACGAAACTGGAGCCATTAAGGAAGAAAAGCGAGACAAGCAGGTTGAGCCTGGGGGTTTTAGCAGAAGAGTCCCCAGATCACGTTCTAAACCAGCTTCATCCCAGAGCAAGCAGTCCATTCAACGGGCACTGGTTCTTGTATTTCCAGTTTCTCTGGCTGAGCATTACATGACAAGGTAGTGCTATCTTTTAAGGCACAAGAACCCAAAGTTTTACCAGAGAAGCTAGAATGCAATTTGTCTTGCTAGCAGACAAATCACTAGTCTATGCTTTGTTTCTGAAACACTGCTCTTCCAAATGCTTGTGTATTTTACACGTGAACACGCTTGATTATTCATATATATTCAAATCAAGGCTACAGAAACCCGAGTGCCGAGGCCAGGAAATCCAGAAGCTAAACTCTGAGCCTCAGAGCATCCTTTGCTGATACCCGGCTTGGCAGCACCCACGCCTCAAACCAGCGCGGCGACGCCAACCGCTCTCTTGTTCTCAGCAAAGAGAGGAAACTGCTGAACATGCACCATAGGTGAATTTCAAGTGTTCCTAACTCATGTGGGCATCTGATAATTGGAGACTCCAAGAGGCCTGATTATAACATATCACTAAACAAATCACTAGGCATGACCAATGTTTATCCACCTGTTAAAAAGTTGTTCAACAGTCCAGTTTTAGGCATCTCTTACTTGTCTCCAATGCTGATGGCCGAGTTAGAAACACTGAAAAACACCTCACTGGATGAATCAGCTGTGAGAGAAGCACCGGGAGGACAGAAGAGAGCACGGGCTCCGCCAGGAGAGCAGCTGGGCGTGCTCTCGGCCTCAGCCAGGGCCCGTCTTGACCGTGTCCTTGCTCAGCAAGGCCATACTCTACCTCGGGGCTGAGCAGCTGGAGGTCAGGATAATGGCTGTCCCTGACTGGGGTGCCAGCTTTACTGTTTACCAACCAGGGTTTGTCATAACAGCGAGAGAACTGAAGTGGCGTCTGCGAAATGGAAATCCAAAGGGAAGGACGGGAAACATTGAAAATGGAACAGAAAGGGAGCAAATTGGGAACACAAAATATAAATAAAAGATCCAAAATTTTAAAGAAACAGAAAACAAAATAAAATGCCTATCAGTCCGACGGATGAGATGGACCAGGAAGAAAGGTAACAGCAGTTTTCCTAATATTACCTGTCTTAAACACAAACTTACCCGTTAGTCCCAGCTGCATGGACAGTGCCAGGGTTTTCAAAATCAGTAACTCTGGCTGCACTCAACTTCACACTGAGACTATGTTGAAAAAAGCGCTTCTGACCTAATGCCGAGTACATATTTTAATAAATGTGCCTTTGTTGTCCTCTTTGTTGCAGGGCCTGTATTTTTGCACTGCTAGGCCCACCCGGTCAGCCTGGTCTAGGGGGACTTGGTCCATACGTCCTGATATTCTCCTCCTCCTCACAGAGCCTTTCAGAGGCCACACTGAACAACGAAGGCCTGGGAAGGCGCCGCATGGTGGTGAGCACGTACCTTGGCACCACTGGCCGGGGTGGCGGGAGAAGATGGCATGGACGCACAGCTGTGGTTGCTCTGACTAGCGCTGGAGCTGGAGCGGGTGGGAGAAGCTGCCCGGGAAGATGGCTTGGATCTTCGACCCCGAGATCGGAAAGGGGTCATTCCCTGGGATGCTCCCTCAGGTAGGATGAATTTCTCTCTAAGTTCAATGTTGGTTCTACCTCGTGCTAAAAAGGGAACAAACACAGACACAATGTCAGTTAATCTTATAAAATACGTCACTGATGGTCATATAGCCACCTGACCCCATTGTAAGTTCTATAAGTAATGGATTTAGTACCATATTTAATCCTTCTAAAATAGAGATTAATTTATGAGCTACCAGCCTTGCCATGATCCTTACCCACAGCAGTCACTGCCCAATAAGCCCCTTGGTTTGCTACAATAAAAACACCTTTGCATACAAAGTGCCATTACAATCTGCTGTCACGAGCGTGCCTGGCCACTGTCCGCTGGGCGAGGGAGAGCAGGCGCAGCCGGTCCAGCCTCGGAGGTGAAGCCAAACCCCCTTTCCTCGCTCACAGGATGTGTATACCTTTTGCTCAGCTTTTGCAAGACACACGGTAACGGAATAGTGGAGAAAAACAGACCACTCTTCTATTGAATTCAGTTGGTAATGATCCTAAGGAAAGGGGTCCAGGAACTTGGGACGGTAGAAAGATGAGGACAGAATCATCAAGAAGTAAATATGTGAGGGAAGAGAGATCAAACCATGCGAGACACCTGCCAGTCAGGAACCTAACGTGGTGAGAAGCTGAGGGACGTCTATGGTGGGAAGTCCGGAAACAGCACTGAAGGCACAGGTGCTATCCATGGCTCGGAGCTGTAAGCCGAACTTAAAATCTGGATTCGGTCAGAAGTTACCAAGTGTGGCCAACACACATGTTGAATGGGAAGATACCATAAGTCCCTTTAATATGTTCAATTACTTCTCACTGAAAGGTGCCATCCTGCAATAAACCTCCACCTCCTCATCCACCTAAACTGCTCGCTACTAGATAGATCTAACAAATCAAATGGAAAAGCCAGGGGAAAGGGAACTATTAGAAACAAAATATTTGTGGTTCCTTTCTACATTAGGCCTTCTACTGTGGCTAGAAACCACAAGTTTAGAGATTACAAGTGATTGTGCCCACTCAACTGATCTCCAAAATTTTAGACCAACGTACATGCTCCAAAATATAATACGAGCATATTCAATTTACAGTGCTCTGTATGAGGGAGGGAGGAAATGAGAACACACAAGTATTTCAGTGCAAGTAAAAACCCTGCCAACGTGCAGGCAGCACAGCTCTCTGCTGTTGGGACGTGCACGTGGCGGCACTGCTGCCTGCTCCCTTCTTGAGCCCTCCCTCCCTTGGCTCCCAGGACCCCGCTCGCCTGCTTCTCTTCCTCCCCCTCCTGCCCGCTTCTTCAGCACGGACATCCCCTGGGCTCTGTGCACAGTCCTGTTCTCCCTTAGACTTTCATCCTGGGACTTTAGAGGCCTTGAAGGTCGTGCCTGACTCCCCCATACATCCCAGCACAGACTCCACTCCCGGAGGTGAGACGTTACATCCAGTCACTGGTCAGACTGGTCAGCCAGAAACCTGGGAGCCGGTGCAGGCGCCTCCCCCTGGTGGCAGTTTGTCTACTGACTCTGCCTTCTAATGCTCCGAGCCTTCCACCGCCCTCCTACACCACGTGGTTCACTAGCATCTCCTTCCAACTGGCCTCCTTGGTCCTCATCTTATTCCCCACCTCTCCCTCCTCCCTCCCCAGAATTTATTTCTCAATAAAAATTTCCTATCTGTAAATAGTTCAGTATCTTCCAGAGCGTCATTCCTTTTAGCAGAATTTCCCAAACTGAGGTGTCTGAGACGTTTCCTACAAAAAGGAGTTTAGTAAAAGCTGTGTGTGATCCCCAGCCCCCACAGCCCTAATGCAATCATCATTTTGTAAGCTCTGGAAAGTTCTGCAGTGAAGTAATATGCATTTTACCATGGTGTGTGTGTGTATGTATATATATATATATATGTGTGTGTGTGTGTATATATATATATGTGTGAGTGTATATATGTGTGTGTGTGTGTGAGTGTATATATATATATATCCTGTTTCCCCCAAAATAAGACAGTGTCTTATATTAAATTTTCCTCCCAAAGTTGCACTAGGTCTTATTTTCAGGGGATGTCTTATCTTTCCATGCACTAGGTCTTATTTTCGGAGAAACACGGTATATATCTCACATCTTGGGGACTAGACTGTGAAGACAGCCATTTCAAGTTCAGTTTTCAACCACCAAAAAGGCCATCATTTCCTAAGGGACTTATTCTGGCCACCTACGCTGGCTGGAGCAGATCTGCTAGTTAACATTCAGTTCTAAGCTCTTGGTTTAATGGGTAGTTTTAGTTTAACCAAAGTTCCCTGGATGGGTGATGGTAGCAACAAGGTGAATGTACTTAATGCCACTGAACTTAATCAGTTCAAATGGTTAATAAATTTTATGTGTGTATTTTACTACAATTACAAGTTTTAAGCCAAATTATATCATTTAAGTCTTCATAAATATCTCGATTTTCACTAAAATTTGGGGAAACTACTTTGTCTAATGCTCAAAAATTGGCAAAGGTCTACTGACTAGGCACTTTTTAAAAAAATCCTCATACAAGGATATTTTCTTCCATTGTTTTTTTTTTTTAAATATATTTTATTGATTTTGTACAGAGAGGAAGGGAGAGAGTTAGAAACATCGATGAGAGAGAGTCATCGATCAGCTGCCTCTTGCACACCCCCTACTGGGGATATGCCCACAACCAAGGTACATGCCCTTGACCGGAATCGAACCCGGGACCTTTCAGTCCCCAAGCCGACGCTCTATCCATTGAGCCAAACCGGTTTCGGCTTCCATTGTTTTTTTAAGAAAGAGTAGAGGGCAGGGGGAGAGAGAGAAACATCGATGTGAGAGGCACAATGACTGGTTGCCTCCTGTTCCCAACCTGACCAGGGGTGGGATTGGACCTGCAACCCAGGTAGATGCCTTTGATTGGGAATCAAACCAGAGACCCTCTGATGGGCAAGTTGATGCTCTAACCACTGAGCTATGCCAGCCAGGGCCAGGCACTGTTTTTAATTTCCACCTAAAATATCATGATAATTTTTGGCATGACTGAATTCAGAAAATGAAATCTCCCATTCTGGCAACCTACCTTGCTGAGTATTTTCACTTTTTAAATTTTGCTTCAGCAATGTGCTGAGATGTCTTTTTATTCTTTACTAAAAGCCCAGTGCACAACATTCATGCATAGGAGTGTGTGTCCCTCAGCCCAGCCTACACCCTCTCCAATCTGGGATCCTTCGAGGGATGTCTGACTGCATTTAGGCCTGATCCTACTGATCTCACAATCCAGGATTACTGGCTCCAAACTGCTTGCCTGCCTGCCTGCCTTCCTGATTGCCCCTATCACTTCTGCCTGCCAGCCTGATCATCCCCTAACTGCCCTCCCCTGCAGGCCTGCCTCCCCCTCTCCCCCAATTGCTCTCCACTGAAGGCCTGGGTCCCCCCAACTGTCCTTCCTTGCAGGGCTGATTGTTCACAACTTCCCTCCCCTGCTGGCCTGATCCCTCCCAACTGTCCTCCCCTGCTGGCCATCTTGTGGTGGCCATCTTGGTCCACATGAGGACAGCCATCTTGTGTGTTGGGAGTGATGGTCAATTTGCATATTACTCTTTTATTAGACAGGATAGAGGCCTGGTGCACGGGTGGGGGCCAGCTGGTTTGCCCTGAAGAGTGTCCTGGATCAGGGTGGGGGTTCCCTTGGGGCATTGGGAGGCCTGGGCAAGGGGCTTGTGGTGGTTTTCAGTCTAGCCATGCCCCCCCCTCCCCTCCTCGCAGAGGCCCTGGTATCTGGGGTTTATTTATCTTCTATAATTGAAACTTTGTAGCCTTGAGCAGAGGCCTGGGCTGGCCAGGGTGTGCAGGAAGCTTGGCTTCCTCCATTGCAGGGGAAACACAAGCATCCTGCTCACTCTGTTGCCCAGCCATCTTGGTTGGGTTAATTTTCATACTCATTCCTGATTGGCTGGTGGGTGTGACTTGTGGGTGTAGCCAAGGTATGGTCAATTTGCATATTACTTTTAGATTTGTTAATCCTTATCAAAGGATATTTTCCATTGATTTTTAGAGAGAGTGGAAGGGAGAGGGAAAGACAGAAACATCAATGTGAGAGAGACACATCGACTGGTTGTCCCTGCACAGGGCTGGGGAACCTGCAACCAAGGTGCGCGTGCCCTTGATCAGAACTGAACCCGGAGGGCTGATGTTCTAGCCACTGAGCCAAACTGTGTGTAAAATGAGATAACAAAACATCGTTCACACTGGTATTACAAACCTGTCAAATTTTATACTGTCCTGAGTATAAGTCTCTACTGTCCAGAGAGTCAAGGATATGTGACACAAATGAATACAAAATCTACCCCAGAAGCTTCTAGAAGCCATAGCAATCTTCATAGAATCCTAGACAGTTTCTTTTTAGCAGTGCTCAAGCGTTTCCAAGTTATTACATTCACCCACCCCTTAAGCATTCACCTCCTAGCACAATTTTTACATGTACAGAAGTAGCTCATCCTGTCCATTACGGGTAAAGTCGTGACATCTAAGACTGCAGGGGAGTTCCTGACTACACAACCAACAGATGACTGCTGAGCTCAGGAGGACTCCTGGAGAGACAGGGGAAAGCCTTACCTTGTGTGCTCCAAGGGATGCTGAAAAGGCTACTCTGTTCCACAGAAAATAGCTATTAGATGGCCCTCCCAAATTTCCTTGGGGTTCCAAGTTTTAACTAGTAAGAGGACAAAGCAGGCAGTGCTCTTTTTGGCCAGCAGCACAATGTCACCGTAGATAGAGCAAGTAGAGCAGGCAGCAAACAGGCAACCAAAGATCCCAAAATGTTGCATGCAGTATCCCTTCTGTTTGTTTAGTCCAAACATACATGACACGAAAAGTAAAACCTTAGTAATAGATTTACAAAGGAACAATGCTGTTTTACTGTTATTAAAATGAAACATAGTGCTCCTCATTTAGAACAATGAAAGAGGACTTTTCTATCAAGGAAATAGGTTTGCAATATAATTAAATTCTCAAACTGATTACACCTTTTCCAGTTTTGACCAAAAAAGATGTTTTCAAAATTAACTATTTTTTAAAAAAGAAACTCCTGATGAAAAGTATTACTCTCATTTATTGGAATAAATGCAGAATGAGTTAAAATAAGAACTATGTGAGAATTGTACCATTTAGCTCTACCACAAATGCTTCAGAATATGATTATAACTCACTTCCAAAAAAGTCATATAACTGTACTGTAAGGATTCCTGCTGGGTTTATAAGTAAGCCTAAGTAATTTAATAATCAGGCTGAACCAGTAACACACATACAAGGGGTGGTGGGTATGTTGGTCTCAGAGACCAAGAGCACACACTCTAGAACCAGACTGTCCTGGACTTGAATCCTGTCTCTGTTATTTATGAGTTGTCTGTCCTCAGGCAAGTTATATAACTTTTCTGTGCTCCAATTTCCTATTCTGTAAAATGGAGATTAACAATAGTACCTACACTTCACAGAGGTGTAAGAGTTATTATGTGTCAAGTGCTTTTAATAGTGTGTTGTGTATAAAGCTATATAGGTATTTGTTAAACAAGTAAAAACTCAGAACAAATTCTATGGGTTCTGTTAAGGAGTATTTTATGCTCTACTAACTTACAATAGTTAGAAAAGCTATGGTTTGGCTATTTCAAAGCATTCTTAAAGGCAGCAGTTACCACAGAGCCAAGGGTGCTACAATTTAAGAAGCAAAGCCATTCTCAACAGGCTGGGGTGTGGGTAAGAGGGACAAAGCTTAAAAGCCAACCTATGGGAGACTGACTGGAAATCGAAGAGCTGGAATCAGAGCGCTTTATTTTACTCCCAGGATGGTGAACTAGAATAAAAAAATATAAACACAGACAGAGCAGGAAATGCAGAAATGGGTCAAGAAAGACAAACTGGCAGACAGTTGGAGAGCCTCCTGTATACCCCCATGCAGCTCGGCTGGTAGGAAAAAGGGAAGGTGCAGCTGAAGAGAATTTAGCAGCTGGAACCTGATCATCTCTCCCTTTGCAGCCCTCACACGCTGCCTCTAGCTGCAGGTGCCACCAATCATTATCATGTTTACTGTTTTCTCTGGCCTTTGGGTGGGCACACCAGCCTTTTCCTGTTTAGCAGATACCTGTGGTCTTGTTTGGGTGACCACCTGTCTTAGAAGTGATGAGGCTCACTGCTAGGTGTTCTTCATCCTGCCTCCTGGCCAAGGGAGCTCCCCCTTCCTTCCCTGCATGGGAGGGGCCCACTATCCTCCCCGAGTGTCAGGCAAAGGGATCTGGAGCACCAATAGGGACCCTAAAAGGCTTTATCAGGCTCCTTTCTAGCCTAGTGTTTATTAACACCTCAAACCCAAGTATTCATTGACACCAATAAATTTCCAATTCTCATTACTGTCTCCCCAACAGCACCAACCTCTCTTGCTCTTTCCCTGGTCTCCTCTGTTGCTCCCACCTTCTGATCTGTGCTAGTCAGGTGACACCTGGGCAGCTCAATAGCTAAATACACAAACAGATCCCCAGCAGCTTGTGCAGGCGCGGGAGCTCAGTGGTGCTTAACGAATAATTCATCTCAGGATGGTTTCTTACCTCGGCAGGGGTCATTTTTTACTAGAAATTCATCCAGGGCCATCCATCCTCCACCAACGCGAACCATCACTGTGCTGCGCAGGATGCGGACCAGCCGCAGCTGCTGGGAGTCTCCAAACTGCAGGACCAAGGGGAAACCAGTGAGTGCGTGCGCCTCGGCGCAGGCCAGGTGGCCTTCTCAGAGCAGACTGTATTCAGACGCAATGACAATCTGACAGTTTGGGGAGAATTTGAATTCTCATTATTTTGCATTTTTCACAAAAGAATTTAAAATATGGAAGAACTGAAATATAAAGCCAATGACCAGTATATGGGAATAAAATTAACTTACGATGGCCATACCCCTGACCAGAGGGGGAGGAGAAGGATGTACAAAACATTAGCTCACTTGGATTCTTTTAAACATTCCGGCCAAATTAAAACCCAACAAGGAAATTACTTATTACGTTAGTTTTTTGTTTTTTTGTTTTCCATAAAAGGAAAGGTGGCTATCAGGTGGACATCGACTTCTGAATACAGTGTGCTCAAGTTAAATGGAGAATGGAAAGTATTTCAAGCCTCCGGAAACCCTTGCAAAGATCGTCATTACAAGTTTAGACGGAAATTTGATTTTCCATATCAGATTTTCAGAAATAAACCCAAAGTACTGATTGTGATGTTACCAGCAGAAAAGTTTCTTCAGCTGAACAAATGATTAAACAGTATTTATACTAAAATTTAGATGAAGAAATCAAATTAATTTACCATGTTATATACTTTACCATGTGGATTATATATTCAATTGTATTCAACAATCATTTTGGGATGTTAAGACAAGTAGAACTTTTGATATATTTTTTTTCTTGCCTAACATTCCTGTTTTTCAGAGCTGTTAACATACTGAAGTTTCCTAATGCATACATTATCCTTTGTCCAAAATAAACTAAGAGGCAACAAAAGAGAATCATGCTGAGATCCCAAAACAAAAATTAAATGGTTGAAGAAATAGTATTCCTAAAATTATTTAATTCAAAGAGAATTGGGGATGAGGGGGAGAGAAGAAAAGGTATTATTTAATCACTTAATTAGGATTTTAAAACTTATAAAGGAGAACTATAACTTTGAAATTAGGCAAAAAAACCAAAAATGCCAAAAAGAATGTTTGTGAAGGAAGGACACATGACCAGCCTCCCTCAAAATTAATATACTTGTGACAATTCTCTGTATTATATTGCATTGACTCAAATTCACTATTTATATAGGCAAGGTGACTAAAAATGTATTATTCCACTCCCCAGCCCCTTACTTTGAAAATAAAATCGTTCTACATCATTCCATACAGCTGTGAAGTGTTTAAGCAGTGACCCCAGCAGCAGCGTGGTGGAGTGTGAAGAGCACGGAAGTGGGGACCGGAGATGTGAGGGAGGGAATAAACGTCCTGTCCCGGGAAGGAAGCTGCCCCTTTGGCCTCTGCAGGGGCCTCCCTCGCACTCTGACCCAGTCAGTGAGTGACAAGGGGAGGCCCTTGGGGAGGCATCGAGGATCCACCAGACCCAAGAGCAGTGATGGCCTGAGCCACACTTGGAGGTCCTCTCCAGGTAGGTGAGGAGAGAAAGGAAATGAGGGCCTTTGTACTTTCCAGAGTAACTCGGGAAGAGATCCGAAGGTGTCCTTTGTTCTTACATTAGAGTGTCCTATAATTTATCTGTCAGCCTTTACTCCATTTATTTCACTCTTTCCCCTTTAATTTCCTATTAAAGCTCTCTCTGAAAGACTAACTTGTTTCTGCTGAGCTATGGGGAAAAGGAGGTTTGCCCCCAAGCCAGTAGCCAAAGTGTCCGGGGAAGTTGAGGGCTGGGTGACAAGTGGTGGAAGAGGTTATGGCAGCTCTAAAAATGGGGGCCCTGTAAGCCTGGCAGAGCAGGGTGTTGGTGAGGCAAAGACCGCAGAATGGTCTTGGGGGCAACAGTAACTTCTGCTACCTTCTCTTAAATGGAAAATCCCTGAAGAGACATGGGCTCCTGCAGTGGTTGTGACATGACTGCAAGTAACTCTTTAGGCCTCGGGTTTAAAATGAACTTCATCATTCTCTTCCCAACATTAGAACGAATGTACCTGACCCAGGTGGTCAGTGGAGCAGCAGAGGAGGACCTCAGTCTTCAGCTAACAGGCACATCCTTTAGGTACCACTTGGCACCCTTGTGGAATGATTTACTTAAGAGCAAGTTTCACTGTTCTAGTCTTTATTCTCTGTTCTCACTGGTCCAAAAGGTTACTGTAGTTAGTAATTACTACAGTGCCTGGGATTTTACATTGATTGAGGGCTTCACATTAACTCTTAGTGTTTTATGATTTCCTACCACAAAACAGATTTTACCCATGCAACTTCCTTCCATTTGAAGACACAGGACCCCAGAGCCCTCAAAAAGATCTATGGTAAAAGGTTAGAGTTACCAAGTGGAGTGAAAAAGCATTCAATCTTTGATGTAGGTCTATAGGTCTAATTTGATTCCATTAGATTTTGGCTGGCTGGCCATATTGATAAACTTTAGGCTATGGCCAATTATGATGTCCACACTACATTCTCATGCACCTTATACTGATAAAATACAACAGGAGTGCAAGTAACTACAATTATTTGTAAGGTATTTAAAGACACAATATTTAAATACCCCAAGACTTTTTGACTTAGTGTGAATTATTAAAATTGTGTTTACTGTCAGAAGACTTTGGTATTAAGTCAGAATTGTGTTGTCTGGTATTCTGACTTCCAACATACAAGACCAGGTTTTTGGAAAAATTTACTGATAATACCACGCTTCAATTTCCCTGATCTATACTACTTTTAACTCATCCCAGCATAATACCATCATCCCCAGCCAATCCAATTTTAAATGGAAAATTTCATCTCTTATCACCTTTTGCTAAGACAGCTCTACAACTAGCCCTGTAGCAGTGTCTCCACTTGGTAAGACAACCAGATGTGACCCCAGCATGCTTCAGATTATGTCCTCTCCCCACAGCAAAGAACAGGCAGCATTAGCTACACAGACCATTTCCACCACGGAGAACGTTGCAAGGCAAACTGTACCTGGTTGCCGAGGAAGAACTACATACAGTAAGAGTAAGGACGAAGGAAATGGAAGAAAAAAAAAAAAAAAAGAACATTTTATCAAATTAACACTAAGGAACAAAAGTCATATAATCATGTTACCAGTCTTCAAGGACAGTGACATATGCTAACCATTCTTACAGCCTATGTTGCTCTTATTAATTCATCTCTCTTATAAGTAATTGAAAAACCCAAGAAACAAAACCCAACAAGCAAGCATAAGACTGCTTGGGGTTTTAGTAACTAAATGCCCTAGGTTGGTTCAAGGCAGAGTCACCCAACACTCTCTGGCTATGAGCAGCACAGTATGTACTTTGAAGACATTTTTTATGTATTAATGGAACCTAGATTTTTTCCTATCTCTCCCCGCCCCTACTTTTTCCTTACTGTAATTTGACATAGCCATCTTAAATTCTCTTTGCCAATCAGATTTTCTTTTGTACTTTAGAGAATTCCTGACAAGCTGCTGAATATATTTTAGGAGCCCTGTTTCAAATCCTGGTCCTAAAAGAAGCTAAAACACAGCACAGTTTCACTGTCAGTTGTGGCCGCACTCAGTGGCTTTCTAATGAAGACTATTGAGCCTGGTACCACCCAGGGCAGTCAGACCATTGGCAGCTCAACCCAGATCGGCCAGAGTGTCCCTTAGGGCCTTGACACATTCCCTCCAGCTCTGAGCCCAGGAACCATTTAGGCTCACAAAGACCAGCTCTCGGTGAGTGTCAGTCATTAGATAATTGTTTCCTTATCTTACAGAAGTGTCTTCACTTCCCTAAAAGACTTTGGTCAATAGTAAAGAGGGAGCTCCGAAATGTCTCCTACACTGAACTCAAGGAAAGCTATTATTAGCTAGATATAGCACTGTTTTTCAGACGGAACTAGAAAGGGCATTATGCTTAGCCCAACAGGACACCTGACATATGGAATCTAGAGACACATCTCAGGTTCCACTGGCTCTGGTCGTCCAGGCGCTGGCCGTGGGAAGGTGGGAGTGTCGAGTCCGCCGTGTGTCAGGCTGTTGCCACCTGACAGGGTCACACAGGAGAAACCACCACACACAGAACTGCTCTCTCATCCTTACCCGGTATTTATTCTCTCCAATCTGCTCCACCTGAAACCTTTTAGCGCATTTGCACTGAGCCACTTGTCTTGTGACCTATTGGTTGTGAACAACAACAAAAAGAAAAAATGTGAAGACTCCCTCTTAAAAAAACACAAAAAACAGAAAAAAACACACACAAATTTTTTTTTACATTTAAACTGAGAAGTTATTCAATATGTATTTTTAAGGCATTTCAGGTTTTTGATACAAACATTTATATTCTCCAAATTAAAACACATTGTTCTTAGAACCTGGGATACTTGAGACAGCAAGAAAGAAATGGGCTAATATACTATCATCAAAATAAAATAATAAAGCAAATTATGAACTGATCTGAATTCCAACCTAGCAGGCCAGATGTCGGGCCTGGGGAGTGGGGAGTTCCAAGCCACTCCCAAGACCAACAAATCTAGGATGTCTATGGACTACTAATTTGCTCTTGAAATTTCAATGCGACACAATTCTTAATGAGGCAGACTGCTTAGTGTCCACGCCATCTTAAACATCACTTTGCATGTCACCCCTTAAATGCTGCGTTTGAAGACCATTGCCCTGGATGCTGAGGCCGGATACTTAGGACTAGGAGTCTAGGACCAAGCAACACAGAATCTGTGAACCAGGTAAGGTTTTCTGCCACCTTTAGAGCACCACACAAATGTGACCCACTTGAGTGAGAAGCCTTCTAGTCTAAGTTAGATCCACCCACAAGTGGATCCCTAAACAACTCCCAGCAATCACCTCCCAACAGACGAGCCCCAGGGCTGATGTGGCAACCTTATCCAACCCACTTCAAGATAGTAGAAAGCTATAGTCAAAAATGTACTCAAGATACAGTTATTTCCCATACCTCATCTTCAATTTTATCTGCATCAGTTGTTGGTCGATAAGCATCCTTATTGGGATGGAGAGCAGCCACGAATTCATAATAATCAATGTAGCCATCCCCATCTCGGTCAAAAATGTCAGCAACAGCTGTCATCTCCAACTTGGTAGTGGGGAACTCTGGAGAAAATTAATCACATTTGGAACAATAAGAGGCTTACATGGTTGGTTGGAAGGTAAATAATTACTATTTGAAAGAAAAAACATTTATGTCTTGATTTTTTTCCTACAAAGCAATTCACACTCAACTTTAGAAACCTAGAAAATAGACTATTAAGTTTTTGCTTATAGACTACTCTGCTCCACCAAGCATTAAAAAAAAAAGTGCAATTTCAGATATTCTGAAAGGTATAAACAAAATATTATAACAACCCAAAGATCTACCACCCAACTTAAGAATTTATTTATCCACTCCACTATTATTATTTAAATTATTTCAGAATAGTGATAACTTGAAATTAGCAGGATGAAGTTTCTTCTGTTTAGAATTAGATAATTGCCTTAGACCAATGGTCGGCAAACTCATTAGTCAACAGAGCCAAATACCAACAGTACAACGATTGAAATTTGAGAACTTAAACTTTTTCTAACGCCACTTCTTCAAAATATACTTGCCCAGACCATGGTACTTTGTAGAAGAGCCATACTCAAGGGGCCAAAGAGCCGCATGTGGCTCGCCAGCCACAGTTTGCCAACCACGGCCTTAGACTACTGACAAATTGCTTTCCAAAGGAGGTGAATGCTTTCAGTAGCAGAGTTAATTTATTAAAACATAAATCAGACTATTTTGCCACTCAGCCAAAAATCTCTGGTGGCTGACCACTGTATCACTGTTTCTAGAATGAAGTCTGACCACTTCGCCAGGACCTGCAAGACCCTGAATTAGTTAACTAGCTGCTGCCTGCCTTCTAGCTTTACCTCCTACACTCCAGCTGTGCTAATCTTTTCATGCCTAGAACGTGCCAAGCTCATTCCCACCTCAGCACTTTGTACCTGCTGCTTCCTCTGCCTCTCTCTTCCCGCAAACCTTGAGTTGGCTGAAGCCTTCTTATCATCTAAGTCTCAGCTCAAATATTACCCCCCGGCAGGCCCTCCCTGGCTACCCATGTACAGTACAGCTGTAGGATGTGCTTTGTGACCCTGGAAAATCACTTAACTACTTATGCCTCACTTATTTTGCTAAAAATAAATGAGACATACATTTTGTAAGCTGTTCTGTGTCAGAAACTGATGTAATGAAAATGTATTTTTTCAGACATTTTGCTTAGAACCACATTACTCACAAAACTTAACTCCTTATCTATACATCAAACAAGACCTGCCATTTCTTATTCCCAGCAAAATGAGGCTATTCTCGCCATGAAATCGACAGACCAATCTTAGTAAGCAATTATAGTTCTTCCTTTAACTTCCTTAAGTTCAGTCAGATTATCGCCACTACAAACTGGGGAATTCAGGGGTGGCCATGCTTGGATTTACGATTGGACTCACTTGATGCTAGAATGCCATCGATAAACTCCTGACGGGTTATCTTCCCATCCTGGTCTTTGTCAATTCGCCGGAAGAAATCCATCACCCGTGACTTTTTGTGATTCATCCAACGCATATACTTTTTCCTCCAGACGTCAAAGTCAAAATTGGCAAATTCCTTCAACTAGACAAGTGAGGAGTGTTAACAAAACCCACATTTTGGCATTCACACCTGCCCGGAGCACACCAAAGCTTTGAGACACACAGTCAAGACGTGCAGGCCTTCTGTAGGGCACCAACAACTGTACCTGTGCTGCCTCTTCTGCAGAGGCACCATCTGGCTCCTTCAGGGAGAACCACGATTGCCACTCGGGCTGTGGTGTAACGGAGAGGAGGGGAAAGTGACCGAACACCACCACGAGAAACACGGGGCAAAGAGAATGCAGAAGGGTGGAGCCAGCCTTGCTTCCCCTTGGCCCCCTTTTCAAAGGATCACCTTAGCCGTCAGGGGATGAATTCTAACCCAGAGGAGAAGTGCTTATTAGCACTCCTCATGTGACTCTGAAGAAACTATGACCAAGAGGTGCACCTCAGCAGGCTCCCATTGCCCACCATTTTCTGAGATGAGATCACCTGATTCTGGCTGGAAGCATTAAGAATCCACCCCTACACGCAAGCATGTTTCTGTGGAATGGCACCAGAGGGGGCTAACTGCCTGCCTGACTTCCATGCTAAACATCTGGCTCTGACGGACAGCAGCAGGCCGTGAAGTGGGCAAGGCGATGTTTAGTTGCTTGGACTATGCTAGTGATTCTGATGTAGGATGACTTTGAACAGTACAGCAGTTTTCCCAACCCTAGTCTCTCAAACTCCAAAGTTGGGAGGAATGAGGGAAAAAAGAAAAAGCCAAAAATCAAATATGCTTAAAGCTCAGCTGACCTACTACAAAAAAAACAAAAAACAAAAAACACAGAATACTCACTTCTGGGCATAGCTGCTTTGATGGGCACAAATAAAAAAATGTAGAAGATACCAGAGGTTTGTTTTAGGAACTAGACAGTGTGGCATTATATTTTTTAGGCTGGTGTTGGTACTTCAGAATACATTTGCTTTTCATAATCTAGTGAAGACTAATAGAATAGCAAGATCACAAAAATACTCTTATTTCATAATTGTGCAGCTTTTATCTTCACTTAAAGGGCTCAATAATAACTTTCGTGGTAAGCTACATACCTGGAGGTAATTTTGCAAAGTTATATTCCTGCTTCTTTATCACAGCCAGCTGCTGAGGAGGGTCAGATCACAGACCCTCAGCCTGGCTGGCTGCTTGCTTCCTGGCCTACTCTGTTGTGAGTGGCTTACTCACATGTGCCTTTTCTCCTGAGAGACTCACAGAGGCCTGTTTCTGCTGCCGGAAAGTTTAGAGGCCTCAGAAGGAGTGTCACTTCCCTCCAAGGTGCTACCTGCAGGGCTTACCTCCTCCAGTCTGTCCAAGGCATCATTTAGCTTCCGCTGACGCTCCAGCGCTAACAGCCACACCTGCTGCCAGCGGGCAGAGAGCTGGTTGATCCGTGGGTTTTTTGCTTCAGATTGTGAAAAAATTGGCATGGGAGGAGGTGCTGGCTGACTCAAGGACTTCCCTAAAAGGAGAAATAACCACAAGATTAGAAAAGCTGAATTTGTCGGTTCAGGAAGAGACACACTATCACATGTAAGGACTTAGGAGACCTTCATAATGACATCCAATCACTAGCAGAAAAGAAACATGGCACCTGGCAATATTTAGATATAGAAACATATTAATTTCGAAACTACTGATTCTCCTCCAAGCCAATAGGTCTTGTCTCATATTTTCAATCAATTCTGTCCTCCCTTAGTGAATTGAGGAAATGTCAAATCAACTAAAACTGCAATGGTGCCAGCGAAGCTCATTTAGTTTATGATTAAGTCAATGTGAACCAAATATAAACAGCTAGCACTGATAACTAAAACAATGGAAAAATTACTGCAAAATAATTTGCTTGACTTATTTAGAAATTTCATAACAAGCCAAGAAAATGTAGGAGAGTTGCTGTTGGTCAGTGTTAAGAAATTTGAGTTTCGGGGACATACTGCTGCCACTGCGGGACTTCTCCATGAAGGGCCCATGCGCAGGCTCCACGTTTTTCCTTTTGTATGTCTTGGTGACCCGGTCCATGTCAGGCTGTTTGCGAGTCATCTCTTCCATAAATGTCTGTGAAATACAAACAACAGAAAAAAAGTTGAGTTTTCTTGGACTGAGATGGCACGAGGCAACTTCTTACTAACAAAGGCCAAGCCCATGACAGATGTGTTGACAGATGCCTTGTACCCTATCTCACTCATCCCAAGAAACACAACTGAGCAGGCACTTCAGGTGCTGAAGGCCCGAAGAAATGAAACACAGCTTCTTACTTCCAGGAGCTCACAGGTGAGTGAGGAGACCAGGAAGTCAGAGCAATGAGTGCCACTCAGGGTGCCAACGAAGACCAGGGCGGGCACCTGGCAGCGGATGAATTCTTTCTGCTTTGTTACACGTATGGGGAAGACCTGAGGATAGCCTCTAGGAGCTGACAGCAACTTCTGGCTGACAGTCAGCAAGAAACGGAAAGGGGACTGGGTGAAATAGGTGAAGGGATTCAACAACAGCAACAACAACAAAACTTATAGACACAGGCAGCAGTATGATGATTACCAGAAGAAAGGGAAGTGGGTGGAGTAGAAGAGGGTACAGGGGGTACATGGTGATGGAAAACTTGATGTTGGGTAGTGAACACACAATATAATATCCAGATGATGCGTAATAGAATTGTATACTTAAAACCTATGTAATTTTATTAACCAGTCCCCAATCCTATATAATAAAAGTGTAGTATGCAAATTGTCCCCTCCATCGGAAGTTCTTCCAGAGGATGGGGCCAGCTGGGGGAAGGAAGGGAGGCCCTGGCCGGCCAGCAGCCGCTAGGAACCCTACCAGTGCACAAATTCATGCCTCTAGTAAATTCAATAAAAATTTAAAGAAAGAAAATGGAGACCTCAGTCCTACCACCATTGGAAATTAATTCTGCCAACAACTTGAATGAGCCTGAATGAGAACTGCTGCCCTGGCTGACACCTTAATTTCCGCCCAATAAGACCCTAAGAAGAGGATCCAGCAAATTCATGCCAACTCCTGTCCCACAGACAGTGAGATAAGTGTGTGATGCTTTACGCCAAGTCTCTAGGAATATGTTAAGCAGCAGTTTAACTAGGACACACATAGGGCAAAGGAAATACCAGTGGCCACAGGATGCGATTAAGATACCTGATGCTCAGCGATAAGGGCTTTAACTCGGTCAATGTTCTGAGGGATTGGCTCCTGGTCCCGCTGAATGAGGGTGGTCTCAGCCCACTGGATCCACACCAGAAGTTCTTCCAAGAGCTCAGCATTAGCCACCAGTTCTGATAGGGCCGTTTCAAGACGCTGCTGGTGCTGCTTAGCCCACGTCAGGACCTGGGGAGAGAAATCATTGCCTCCTTTAGTCAAGCAAATCCCTTTCTTTTAAAGGTCCTTTTTCATCTGATCCTAACAATGACTATTTAGGGCAAAGACCACCCAAGCAGTTAAGAGACTTAGCTCTTACTTTGGTGATAGAGCCGCGTTAACTAGAATGAGAAATCAGTTCTTCTAAAAATAAACCTAGTACATCCTATTAAACATAGGACTTCTGAGGATGGAGGAGGAATATGCACATGTCCAGAGGAAGCAATCAGCTAACAAATCACTACACCAACACTAGTCTTCCAGATTTCAGCACAGTACCAAGAAAGCATTCATTACTAAAACACTAACTAAATCTTATTGAGATTTTTCCCAGTGAGTGAAAAATTTCTTATGGAGGGAGCTCTGTTGTATTTTGTTGCTGTAAACCCGTTTATCAGGTGTACTCTTCCTCCAAAGCCAGGGACCCACCTCCTCAAAGCGAGCCCGGATGATGGTGATCCAGTGTTTGATGGTAGTGATGCAATCAGGATGGCAGACAGCCAGGATGACTTCTCCCATCGCCACCGCTGTGTTCACATCCACTCGCTTCTCTTCCACTTTCTTCATGAATTCCTAAACAAAACAAAAGAAAACAAAAACCAACCAACTAACTAACTAATCTACTCTAGCCCTGGCCAGATAGCTCAGTTGATTAGAGAATCAACCCGATATACCAAGGTTGTGGGTTCAATCCTTGGTCAGGGCACATACAAGAATCAACCAATGCCGAAACTGGTTTGGCTCAGTTGATAGAGCATCGGCCTGTGGAAAGGTCCCAGGTTCGATTCCCGTCAAGGGTACATACCTTGGTTGTGGGCATATCCCCAGTGGGGGTTACAGGAGGCAGCTGATCGATGTTTCTCTCTCATCCATGTTTCTAACTATCTCTCTCCCTTCCTCTATGTAAAAAAATCAATAAAAAATATATTTAAAATAATAATAATAATAATAATAATAATACCTGCTTTGTGAAGTTGTTGAAGAATTAAAGAGAATAAACATAAAGAATTAGTGCCATGTAGGACGCATGACACGCACCAAACACATTAAAAAGAATCAACCAATGAATGAATAAATAAGTGGAACACATATTTATTCATTAAAAACACATACACACACAAAACCTACTCTGATAGCACTGTTTACACTATAATGGGGAAAAAACTAAAAAATTCAGTGTATTTTTCCCCTCCAGTGTTCACTGACACAGACCTCTAAATGCCTCTATTAGGTATCGCTGGCATTTTCTTTCCAAAATCAAAAGATGCTGATGACAAGGACTAGGGACACAGAGGTATGTCCCTTTTCCCCAAACTGGAAATGCCTATTTTCCTATTATAAATTATCTCATTTCAAATAAACCCTGTTTTTACTGATTTCAATGTGTGCAACAAGTATTGTCTTGGACAAATAACAGCAATAAAACACGACTAAAACAGAATATAATGACAAAACCAAGATTAAAATCTCCCAGTCAGTGGGTAGTAACTAAAAATTAAAATAGCAAACATTCCCCCCTCATTAGGGCAGTCACACTGAGGGCCCACAAGCTGCATGTCCTGCAGCTCAGTAAGAGGTTCGGTGGGAGCGGACAGGGCCTCCAGGAAGCAACAACGAGGAAAGTGAAACAAAACGGTGTGAGGTGAGGAGTACAGAGGTGGGACAGTCCACATTTTGGACTTTACATAATGCCATAAATGAATGAACAATCTTTAGAGTGTCACAAAAATTGCCAGTCATTTCCCTGTCATTCCTGCTAAACAGCAAGCTGGCCTCACTCTGGCCGTTCCTTTGCACAAGAGGTCTGCAGTTTACAAGCAAAAGCTGCCGTCCTTTGGCGGTGGGGCAGTCCTCACCGTGGCTGGATTACCTTATGGGTGTCAATGAGAGACTGCAGGGCCTCTGTGTCATCGGGAAGTGCTCCCCGAAAGCGAAGTGTCTGCTCTGCTTCAGAAAGCCACTCCAACAGCATGTGGACTGTGTCCCGAAACTCTTCCGCCTGAAATAACCAAGCACAAAAGATGAAATAAACAGCCAAGGTCCTGACCATTGGGGTATGCCAAGGAAAGGGTCTAAGACTAAACTCCTCAGTGCAGCACAGGAATTTGATGGCCCAACTGAAGTCCCACAAAGGTTATCTTTCATTCGTAGATCTTTGAAAACTAACTGAATTCATTATTTCTCTAATACAAATCAATACTGAAGTCTTATAGAACATTCAGAATACCAATGTTTGAGGTTGTGTTCATTTTGAGATGGGCTGGAATGGGTTCTGATAAAGAAACTAGAATAAATCTGTTCAAACAGAAACCCCTGGGGTTTTCCCAACAAACGTCTCTGACCTGTTTTAAGGCCTGCTCAAGTCGACTTTGCTTGGAGACGGAGAGCTTACACACAGTGTCCCAGCGAGTGCTCAGTTCCTGGAGCTGCCCTTTTACCCATGTGGTGTCATCGCGACTATTTTCAATCAGCTCTCGGCCGGACCGCTTCAGTACCTGAACAGTTCCCGTTCGCTTTCCCAGTTCCTTCTGGAAAACCTTTAGGAGAATTAGTATGAGAAATATATTTAATCCAAGAAGCAAAACCATACAGGAAGTTATCATTTAGTTCAATTTCCTTGGTAAGTTGCAGTCATGTGTCTTTTATGCACAGAGGGAGGCAGGATGAGGCATAAGAAAAATTAACCAGAAAAGGAGGCTCTAAGCAGTGTGACTTTGGTAAGTTGCTTAGCTGGAGTCTCAGATCCTAATCCATAAAATGGGAATAATGTTAAAGCATTTCCAGAACTGTAGGAGTCAAACAAGAGCACATATGTCATGAGTATGACATATTCTGGGTAAATTAAATGCTCAACATGGCAAGTGTAGGTCATCCTAAATATTGCTGCCCATGGTGCTGGGCCTGAAAGGTTCAGAAGTAGTAAAAAAGCAGTTTCATTTTAGCTTTCAGTGTAATATTTGTCTTGAGGGGCTCCTGACTTTAAATTTATTTTGAGTCATCTGAGAGATGCAAATAGGAAGGGAGTGGGGAAGTTCACACATTGCTAAATCTTAAATCTAACCAATTTTAGTAAATTCTTTTTTATTTTTAAATATATTTTATTGATTTTTTACAGAGAGGAAGGGAGAGGGACAGAGAGTTAGAAACATCGATGAGAGAGAATCATCCATCAGCTGCCTCTTGCACACCTCCTACCGGGGATATGCCTGCAACCAAGGTACATGCCCTTGACCGGAATCGAACCCAGGACCTTTCAGTCTGCAGGCCGACGCTCTATCCACTGAGCTAAACCGGCTTTGGCAATTTTGGTAAATTCTTTGTGACTGATGTAGAACCCCAGCAGCAGTTTGTTTAAACTCGCAGAGCAAGGAGCCGCGTCCCTCAGAAGAGAGATCTAGCTCTTTCAGACTTCCTTTCTCCCTTAGCGCGAGGAGAAGGCACAAAGGTGGAGGCCCCAGCGGCTCTGCCCTCCATGCAGCCCAGGTCTCACCCCTCACCTTATGGGCATCCATGAGGTTCATGACAAGGTCGAGGTCCCCGTGCACGGGCTGGTCCTCGGCGAGCTGTGGCTCCACCTTGTACAGCCAGTCGACCAAGGCCTGCAAAGCATCCATGAACTGGCCCGAAAACAGCAGGGCCTCCTCCAACTTGTGCTGCCTGAGAAAAGCATATAGAACTTGCTGTTTTTAGGTATTATTGATGAATGGCCCACAATTCTGACTGCTGAAAGGAAATACTGCTTGACCTTTACATAATGGGACCTCCAAGTTGAAATCGTTAGAAACACAGTAAAAAGTGACTGAGAGAGATGTCTAGACATTTTAAATCAAACCGCTCTCTAGAATGAATTAATCACAGTGTAGGTAGGAAACAGGCACAGATGCCCTTCTGGCATCTTAGCCCAATAGTTATACACACGGACACACCCTACTGACCAAGGTCTGCCTGTGTTCATTACTTTACCACTCCAGTACAGGATGATGGTTTTGGTAATGGCTTGGAGTCAGAGTTCAACTCCTAGCTCTATACCAGTTTTGAGTCCCTGGCCTGTCTCTTCACCTCTCTAAACCTTAGTCGCCTCACCAAAAATTTGCGAGTATAAATTAGATAGCGATATAGTAATACTGAATATGGCATAGAGAGTACAAATGGATAAAGTACAACTTTTAGAACCAAACCAAATAGTATCAAATCCCAGCTTAGTAGCTGAGTGACTTTGGGGGAGTTAAGGAGAAGTTGCTCAGTAGATCAGATGTCATGCTGGCTACGTGAGGTAACACACACACAGAGGTTCTGCACGGTGTCCAGCGCACAGTGAGACAGCTAGTGGTATTACAAGTTAGTGACTTACAAATACTGAGTTACTGACCTATTACTATGAGCTTCTCTTTCTAATACAATAACGTTCAAGTGTAAAATGAAAGAATTTCAATACATTTTATTCAAGTTTTTCAAACCTCACTGAATTGGAGATACTGAGATGTTATAAAACCTGTTACTGATGCACATGCTCTATTATCACTTATGGAGTCCAGTAACAGTCTCTCAAGTAGTTCTGGGACACTCATGCTCACCTCTCTACAGATTTGCCACACACAGTATCCCATTTGTCTCTGACTTCTCCCAGTAAGTTGTCAAGTTTCTGAGTATCATCAGAAAGCAAAGTCTTTTCTTTCAGGGCTCTGCCAGTTCTAATTGTGGTGTCATACACAGGCTGCTTGCCACCAAGAGTTTTCTGAAACTCCTGTTTTCAAAATGAAAAGAAAAGAAAAAACATGGTGTGAGATATTATCTTGATTTGGAACAAAGAAAAAATTTTTGAGCATTTCCAAGTTGGTGATTAGATACAATTTGACTCTTGACTACTTCTTGAACTAATAAGAGCTTACCCTTAAGAATTTATAAATCTTTGCTTACTATGTCAAAGCAGCGCATATTTCTAAAAGCCTAGAATTTCTAGAAGCCTAGAGTTTTAATTTTAAAGTTTACCCCCACAAACACTTTGTTTGAACTGTTACTTAAATGAGCAATTGTCACAGTTAGACGCTGTCTAGACATGAAATGGAACACAGGCTTCATCATCTTGACGTTTTCATCCAGATAAAATTTCTAGTAAATACCGAGCTCAATCCCTAACTGCTTTACCTTATGCTTAGAGAGCTGCAGTTTAATTTTGTCTGGGTCATTGGATATCTCCAGTTCTGAGTCCAGGTGACTCTCTGCATCTTCCAGCCAGTCAATGAGTTTTTTCCAAGCTTCGTGAAACTACAATTTTATAAGAAATAAGTTATAACAGTAAAAAACTAACTATATGACACTTTTATGTGAATTCATCCAGAGACTCAAGACTTGCAGTCAGAGGTGGTTCAGTAATCAGAACCTTCCTTTTGTAACTTACTTGTTTTGCCCGCTTCCTGGCATCATCTAGTGATCGCCCTCTTTCAATAGATCGCTGGACAATCTTCTCCCACCGAGACTGGACGCTAACCAACAAATTCTTGATCAGAACAACGTCCTGCTTTTGGCTAAGGAACTTTAACTGATTTCCGGTTTGATCTAGTTCAATGATCTGGTCTCGATGAGCATTTACTTCATTAGCAAAAACCTGGTGGGAAAACATTGCTGTGTTTAAACGGAAGATAAGACAACCAGTCCTTTCAAAGGAAGGCAACATTCTAGTGTTATCATTACCTTATGCTCCTCTATCTGGGAAAGGACTGTGTTTAGAATCAGGCTTGGAGGAGAAGCGATGTTTAAATTCTGCTCTGCTAGTGTGAGCCAGTTGATAAATTCTTGCAGGGAATTCTGGAATTCTGTTGCCAGGTTGAGGGCCTCTTCTAGCTTTGACTGAATTTCAATGAAAACACACACAAAAAGTGCCAAATTCAGGAATTATAGCTTCAAGGACAAAGGCGTGAATTGTACACCAAATGAAATGACCTCTAAAAAGGAAGCCTCATTTAAGCAACTTCTAAACATGCCTTGGTTGCAAAGAAGGGGACATTCTCATGTTAAGTGTCTGAAACAACTGCTTATGGGAAAGGACACAGTTTGCAGCTGAGCCCTCCTCTGCCATTCCCCGCTTCCAGGGGCATGAAGGAACAGGTGCAAAAGCAGTCACAATGCAAGCGAACAGCTCCGTGGTAACAGCTGCAGGTCTGCAACCCGTTTTGGCCAGAGTCTCTTTTCCTTGCATATACTTTTTGTGGCATGAAAACAACCAATGAGAAGCACTTTACTATAGTAAGTAACTCACCACAGTGCCTGTTCAAATGTTTTTAGGAAATATGGCACCTAAAAATGCCTGAGTCTGAAACTTAATTCTTTTTTTTTTTTTTTTTTAAATATATTTTATTGATTTTTTACAGAGAGGAGGGGAGAGAGATAAGAGAGCTAAAAACGTCGATGAGAGAGAAACATCTAACAGCTGCCTCTTCTTTGTGTTTTCAGGTTACTTTTATAACCTAAAAAAACCACTGTAATGAATGCTACAAAAACATATAGGCCTGTTCTAAATAAAGCAAATTCATATCTATTACAGAAATGCTTAGAATTTAATATGGTACCAAGTTTCTAGATGGCAGGAAATCTTCCAGTTGTTTTTAAATATATATATATTTTACTTATTTCAGAGAGGAATGGAGAGGGAGAGAGAGAAACATCAATGATGAGAGAGAATCATCTATCGACTGCCTCCCGCATGGCCGTCACTGGGGATCGAACCCACAACCTAGGCATGTGCCCTTGACCAGAATCGAACCTGGCACATACATGCCTAATAACTATTTGTTAATGGATGTGGCCAAGAGATTGGCACACATATTTTATTTGATCTGTCCAGCACAGAAATACTCTGCAGAGATGCTCTGAGACTCTGTACTCATAAAAACCAGTGTTTGGGGGCTTTGGTCCTTAATCACCTTTCTTTTGAAGAGAATTTGGTTTTGGGAGGAAGAGGCCATATAATTTACTTCTCTCTTGATTTTTTAGTATCAATTCTCTGCATGCCGTACTTAACACAAGAATCCAAATTCTTTGTCATTCTCCTTGCATACTCTGCTCCCACCCTCCCAATCTCAAGTCACCAACTCCTACATAACTTTGTTTTTAAGTTAAAATACAACAAATCTGATTAACAATGGCTATAAGGTCCAACATTGAGCACTAACAGGCAGTAATGTCTTAACTGGTAGATGCAGAAAAAGAATCAAATATTGGCAGAAACTAGAACCATCAGTGCAACTTGACACGGATGGAAAATAGAAATCTAATGACAGAAAAGAGGGATGATTAGCATGATGGCAATATGAGGACATCAGTTCTACAAATTCTGGTTCAATATACTGGTCTTTAAAAAGTCTTCACAGAAACGAGATGGTAATTACATGCCATCACCACACACACACTACTCAAATACCATATTCACAGTCTCTTGTGGTAATACCTTTCTTTCTTCCATCTTACTGCTGACCACATGCCACTTCTGTTCCAGGAGAGCAACGCTCTGTTCTGTCTTTGAGCCAGATCCAGAGTCATCACGGCTTAGAAGCATGAGCCTGCCCTTGTCAAGCAGTTGATTATACGTCTCTTCCTTGGCTTTGAGCTGGGAATAGAGTTCCTACAAGAAAAGGCAGGAAAGATATCAATAATGTCAATTTTCTGGAAGATACATACACACACACACACACACACACTTACAGTTTGGAAAGGTCCAGGAAGATCTCACCTTGATTAAAATCCTTTCTTTTGGATTTAAACTGTTGAACAACTAGAGAATGAAATCCACCATTCTTGCTTAGTATTAAAATAATTTTGTCACCAAATAAATGGAATTATTTTAAAGATCAGAGATCCTTAAATATAAACCCCAATCATTAACTTCCTTTTTCTGAATAATTTGCCTAAACATTATGCCTTTTGTTCTCAGCTACTTTCTTGAAAAACTGTTAGTATCTGTTGGGTTTCCCTAAATCCCACTGAAGTAGTGTTTTTCTTAAATAAAACCACATTTGTGCTATGTATCTATCTGTCTTCTTGATGCTTTCACCTTCAAGTCAATATTCTTATGCCCACCAAATTGACCTTTTTAGAATTAACCAGTTGACCAGTCCAGCCAATTTCTCCCATCACCACTGCTGCATGTGGTAGGGTATTAAAAGCCCGTATTTAGGCAGGAGTCCTCAAGGTTGTATTATAATGTCAGTAAAAAGGCATTTCTTTGTAGATTCCCAGATACATATCAGGAGCTACTGACTATGGGATGCTATGCTCAATTTCAGGAAATCTCTATTACCATGTGTGTGTCAAGCTGTTCTCTAGCAGTTTCAGGAAGTCCACCTGTGGGTTTGGATGCAGAAAGCTGGGTCTCCATTCTAGTCAGTTCCAAAAGGAAATCTTCAATTTCACTGTGGAAACCCTGGGCCTTTTGTGAAAAGACATTAGGAAGGTCAGTAGTCAATCTTAGCTTCAAAAGTAAACATTCTAAATAATGATCTGAGGAATCTATTTTTTACTTTATTTATTGACCTTAGCAAAAGGAAGATCCATTCATTCATGTACTCATAGGTTGATTTTTGTATGTGCCCCGACCAGGAAACTTTGGGGTATTGGGAGGACACTCTAACCAACTGAGCTACCGCCCAGGGCATGAGGAATCTATTTTGAGGGAGGAATATTGGGCTGTTCTCAGGCTGTTCTGTTACTGGATTGGCATGGGGCGAATATGTTTATTTAATCACAATCTAGCAGAATTCCCCAGATCTCCTTGTAGGCAAAAGTTGGTTTATGGTTGTGAGCATACAAAAATTTATTATTGTATTATTACTTAATAAATTATTCTATTTCTATTTGAACTTCAAAACTACTTTTGCCCAACCCTGATATTATAAATGTTTGATATAACCAATGAATTGATTACGGCAATGGTCGCCAACTGGTAGTCCTCAGACCACAGGTTGGTCTGTGAGTTCCAAAAAGTTGGCGATCTCTGGACTAAGGTACTGCTGAGTATGAATATGGAGGGTCCTGACTCGATCTAAGACATAACTGAATCTGTGAACAGGTCTGTTACAGCAAAATCTACTAACTTTAAATTGTAAATAAAGAGATTAGCTACAAACTAATCCAAAAAACCCCATTAAGACAAAAGATGTTCTTTCCAGACAAGTTCCAGCCAAGAAATGATCTTCCTCTCAAGTCACAGGGGGCTCTACCCCAAACTGCTTTCCTTTCAGTGACTTAAGACTTTCGTCCAAACGTTACATGCACAGCTCTGCACAGCTCCACCTGCCTAACTTGGACGAGGCACAGACCTGCTGCAGTGTCGACTGAAGCTGCTGCTCCCTCTCCTCTGTTTTCTGTAACACTGACTCCCAGCATTGGTTCATAGTTTCCAAACGGCTCCTTAAGCTGCTGGCATCATCTCCAGCACTAGATTCAAGAAGTTCATTGCCAGCTTTGTTGACTGTTTCCACTGTGGCTTGATGGGCCAAAACATCATTTTTTAGAACCTAAAAAATGTTGAACAACAATTTATCTCTACAGATAACATCAAACCTGGTTCTCCAAGGTACACAACATCAAAAGGCTTCTGGTGGGAATAGTCTGAAACCAAAAGGCTTAGAGATGACCAACCAAAGGACTTGTATGCATGCATATAAGCCTAACCAATGACACAGACAACAGGAGGGTGAGGGCATGAGCTGGGGGTGGGTGGGTAATGGAGGAATAAGGACACATATGTAACACCTTAATCAATAAAGAAATTAAAAAAAACAAAAACAAAAAAAATAAAAAACTTACATGGTGCTTCGCTAGCTCAACTTCAATGACTTTTGGATCTCCACTTATTGGCCTCTGAGCATCTAACAACTCTTCAGTGTGAATCAGCCAACTCATTAGTTCTTCTAAAGCATGTTGGAATTGGCCAAGAGCCAAGAGAGCCCCTTCTAGCTTATGCTACCCAGAAAATGATACAAAGAGAATAATTGTTAGGAAATTGAAAGCAGTAGATAGTAGTCCATTTATGTACTCCACCAGTTGCCTTACCTGTCTATGGGCAATCTTTTCACCCAGGTTCTCCCAGAGATGTTTGAGTTCTGTCAATGGTTCTCGTATAATGTCTCTGTCTGTTTCATCAGTAGCTTTCTTTAACATCAGTTCACCCTGGTGATTGAGCTTCTCCATCTCAATTTGCTGTTGGTAAACTTCCACCTTGAACTCCTATCAAAGACATATTTAATGTTAACATCAAATCAAGTCTTTAAAAACTAAAAGAAGCAATCCTTCTTCAAAAGCCATTCCCAGATACAAACCTTCATTTCATTTAACTGATCTTTAACGGTGTTGAGGTCAGTGCCGACAGGGGGCATGGTGCAGAGTTTAATCACGGTGTTATCTAGCCAGTCAAACATAGCCTAAAATAAGAACACAAATAAGCAGTCAAAAACAAAAACACAAGGAAAAGGGAAAGAATTAGCATTATCTCTGTTAAATAAGCAGAGATAAATCAAAGTGTCAAGTACTGTTTGTGTTTTTAGATGAGGAGGGAGGTACAGAGGGAAAGAATGACGGTCTTTATTCAAATAATGTGGGGACTTACGAATGAAGCAAAAATTGGGATAATGGCCAAAATAAACCATGATCTGGCAAAACTAAGTAGGGACAAAAGTTACTATTTCTCATGGCTGGCTAGCAAGGTCAGGATGTGCTAAAGCTACTGTGCCATTGTGCTTCAAGATAAGCTGGGCGTGGAACCTCTAGCCAGCGGCTCTCCCTGTAAGGCCAGCTTCCCTGGATAGCCACCTCAAGAGTCAGTATAGTGAACACATGATGAGAAGAATAGAAATTTGGATGTCAGTACTTTTCACATAAGAAGTGGGAAACTCTGGCTAGAAATACAGGAAGAGCTTGTTGCCTTAATTAGATAATGTTGCGGTCCTACAAAGGTGATCTGCTCTTATGCTGGATTCTGAATATGACACCACGGAGGCTATTTTCCTGGGCGGACACCTCTTGGTCCTCACCTGAAGAGTGTCCTGATACTGCACAGCAGCTTGCATGGCATCCTCGAGCTTTTCTAGCCGTTCTCTCCATGTTTTGTTTAAGTTCTCCCAGGCATTATTCATCTAGAGGAAAATAGTCAACCAGATTCTTCAATTAATACTCCTGTTCAGTCTAAGTCCACAAATGTTTTGTCTAAACTCCTTATCTATTTCTCCAAACCTCGTCAATGCTCTTCTTCACTTCGGGCTTCTCAGTTTCTCCACAGGCAAAAATCAAATCTGCTCCAAGGATTCGAATAAACTCCAATTCCTCATGAAGACCATCTGTCTCTTCCTTAATAGTCTACATATAAATGAACAGAACATAAGCCAAAACAGAAGCAGAACAGAACTTCCCAAGCATTGGAAATGTAACTATAGTTCCATCAATAGCAGATGTTGAACAGAATCTGTCAAATTCATAAAAACCTTCATTGCTATTATTTCACTTATATACACAGTGATGTTTCAGACTCTAGTTATCTTTCATATTTATGTACATATCTATGAACTACATAGAACAATATATATGAAACAGTCTGAGAAAGGTATAATGAGCTTAAATAATTTACCAAAGGTTCGTCCTTCCTGCTCCCAAGATTATAAACTATAGCCAAAAGTCTAATACATTACACAGAAGTATGTCAACAAGGGTAAAATAGTATAGCAATTTAAGAGTGGAGAGACTAGAATAATAGGAACACTAGGCCACATAATCTTGAACAAAGTTAGTTCCCTGCCAGGTCCTAAAAAAATGACAGGGTTGGGGAGAGGGAGACCAGCTGAAATAAAAGGTATGGGAGAGATAATATTAAGACAGGCTTAGCTTATACTAAATGGACAAAATGAGGGAGAAATGCATTTAATAAAAAAAATTAAAAAACACACACAACAAAACACCAAAAAACTAGCCTGGCCAGAGTAGCTCAGTGGTTGAGCATCGACCTAAAACCAGGAGGTCACGGTTTGATTCCTGGTCAGAGCACATGCCCAGGTTTCAGGCTCCATTCCCAGTGGGGTGCATGCAGGAGGCAACCAATCAATGATTCTCTCTCATCATTGACGTTTCTATTTCTGTCTCCATCTTATTTTCTCTCTAAAGTAATAATAATAATAATAAAAAAGTATTTAAAAATAAAAATAAAAACTAGGCTCCCCCATAAGACTAGAAAAAGGTATGTCAGCCAAAACTGGTTTGGCTCAGTGGTAGAGTGTCGGTCTGCGGACTGAAAGGTCCCAGGTTCGATTCTGGTCAAGGGCATGTACATTGGTTGTGGGCACATCCGCGGTAAGGGGTGTGCAAGAGGCAGCTGGTCGATGTTTCTCTCTCGTCGACATTTCTAGCTCTCTATCTCTCTCCCTTCCTCCTCTCTGTAAAAAGAAAAAAAAAGAAAAAAAAAAGAAAGAAAAAGGTATGTCAATGTAATAATTATAATCTTTGGATGATGAATCCAGAATTTATTTGCTTTTCCACCTTCTATTTTTCTTTGCATTAAAGAAATATACTCGAAAAACAAAATAATGTCCAAGCATGTCAAACCAGTGGCTGGTGGGCCGCATGCCTTGTTTAAACGCATCGCTGGCCGCGAGTCTGACATGCTTGACATTCTAGCAAGGACTAAATTCAGAAATGAAAGCAAAACCGAATTTTCAAACATATCCTATTAATTGGAATTGCTAAGTTTAAAACTGACAAGAAAACTAGTTTTGTATGATGGAACCCATCACAGTTGGTGTAGGTCATAAACTTGTATTTATAATAAAAAAGGAAATCTACTATAATGAGCAGATAATTTTTTCAAGTGGAAAATATCCTCTTAAACAACTTTTAAGGCAACTCAGCTTAGCTAAGCAGTTAACACAACATACTTGGAAAAAGTGCCTTTTTCAGAAAACAAACATATAAGAGAAGGAGTTCTGTTTTGTTCTTACCTCAGCAGCTTCAACCTGTTGCTTGATGATGGATGGGTCAATGCCTGGGCTTTCCAAGTCATGGACGATGTCCTGAGTGTCTTTGATGGTGGTAAGGAGAGCTGCCATGTCATACCAAAACTTTTCCGCTAGTTCTAGGACATCAAGGAACTTAATTTCTCGTTCTTCAGCCCGAGCTTTGATGTCCTCCCAGAAGAATACCATTTGATCCAATTTGTCCTGGATTTCTGAGGGAGTAAAAAAGAGATAAGAATAGGACTTCTCCAAGCCTCATCAGAAATATCATCTAATCCTCACATTTTCACTGAAATTATCTTTCAAGAAGGTCTAAGAATTTACATATACCTACCTTAGCTTTATTATTATGTCTACATTTACATTTTCACCTACATTGGTTTCCCACAAAGAGAGATCACAGAAGTAATCTGGGAATGAGTTACCATCTAATATAAAGGCATTGCTCAGGAGGAGGAACCAAGATGGTGGTATAGGTAAAAACTGAAGCAATGCTTTATTGCAACCACAAAACACAATCCAACAAGGCATCAACACAAGAGACTGAACAGAGATGTAGCAACTCCACCTTTTCAAATTCTTAAAAACAAATACTCAAACCCCGAATCAAACAATGCATCAGAGCAATTTTAAAAATATTACACCATCATGAAGGAATGTACATAAAAGTATTTTCTACTAGTAACAAGGTTTTTTGGTCTGTAACTCTTGGCAAATTTCTTCAGAAACAAATTATTATAAATACAACCATAAAGTGAAATAATGCTTTCTTCGGAAACAATCAATTTAAAAGCAATGCTACACAGAAAATACCATTACCCCCTGTGAAAGCCAGCTGAATATGGATGGATATCCTAATACACAACAGAGCTTTTCATTTCAGAGCTATGGTTCTGCTTCTAAAGGGGCCAAGATGCATGTTCATTTCAAAAGTTGCAGCATATCCCAGTGAAAACTTAATAAGGTCAAGTGGAGGACCCTCTGTAAAAAAGGGGTAAGCAATTCCATCCTGATAACATAAGCTGCAAGAAGCAGAGGAGCTCAAGGAAGACAGTGATCCCTTCCTCTTTCTCCCCCTCCCCAAGTCTATAACCAAAACATGCTCATCCCATTGAATTTTTAAAAGAATTTTAGAAAAACCATCTATGAAGAAACAAAGAATGTCCTTATGACTGAAAATCTTTTCTGGGCAAGAGCATCTACTCATGTCAAACACTGATTTCTTTGTACTCTGACAAACTCCACAAGGAAAACCATCCCATCTACCTGTTCTCCTTGCTCCTCCTAGCTGAATTCAGGTCAGCTGATGGATTGCCTACCTAGTCTATCCAATAGGATGACGTTTCACGTGGTTGAAATTCTTTACATATACATATGTATGTATGATATTCTGTTTACAAAGTTTCATCACATGAAACTAAATTATGTCATCATGTATTTTTGAGGTCCGAGACCCCAATTTGACTGTACTATGAAGAGTTATTCTTTAAATGCTTTGACTGCAGAGGTTTTACATGATACTCATAGATTTTCAGAGCAGGACCCAACTTTTAACTGAAGTCCTGTCAGCACATCATTTCTTGTCATCAATAGCAGGGATTTTCCATCAATTTCCTGCTCCTGAAAAGCACTAGCTTGCTCCTCAAATCCCGCTGTCCCGAAGTAATTGACGACATCCGCCATGGCCTAGTCTGTAGGATTGGGATTCCTCCAGGGAATTTTTTATACCAACAGAGCCATTTTTCTCATTTTCCATGTCAATGGATAGCATGGGAAGGCTGCAGGGTTCTTTTACTTCAGCAACTCCCCGCATGGCCAGCACCAGGCGTCTTTCCCAGGTGCAGAGCTCGGTGGCTGCCAAGGGCCCAGCTAGGCCCAATGCAGCCGGCTGGGCACACCACCCATGCCCTTTTTTAATTAGGAGGGAGATCATGTCTGCAGGGGGCACCCATGAGGAGCAAGGAGTCCCAGAGCTGGGAAAAGTAGTCCCTATGGGCAGTAAGAGCTATGGGCTATAAAAACCAGTGGGGATTGGGGCTCAGTGACATAGAAGCTGCCAGAGACTCAGCTGCTCCTCCTAGAAGGCCAGCACCATGAACTGAACTTAACAAGCTCCCACACACACTTATGAGGAGAAACTGGGTTATCTGGCATCGGGGCAGGAACTCGTGGGCAGCTTTCTACCAAATGGAGGTGTTGGCAGGGGTCATTGTTCCTGTTCTGGGACCTCCACAGTTGGAGAGCTGACTGGCAGCCATTTCTGTTTGCTCCACCTTGGTGATTCCCTGAGACCCTGCCCAATTTACAACCTCACCCAAGCTGTGTGCATCAGGGCTTTTGCATATGAATTGCCTGTCCTTGTTGGGTCAGGGAGCCCCAAATCTATCAATAAATAGGCCCAAGACCTGGCACCAGCACCAGTCTGCCTTGCTTCATAGCTGGGCCTCATCTGGGCACTTCCAAACCTGATACAAAGAGGAAGAATTTGCAGATCTCTCTGTAGCTCCTGCTGGGTGGCACTGGCCTGTGGCTGACACTGCACCTCCCTGGATATCTCTACCCAGCAAAGTTATCATTTAGAATTGAAGATCAGATAAAGTTCTTCACAGACAAGAAAAAACTAAAGGAGTTCATCACCATCAAACCAGTACTATATGAAATGTTGAAGGGCATTCTTTAAGAAGAGGAAGGAGAAAAAGAAAAAAAGAAAAAATTATGAACTACAAAATAGCAACAAATACATACCTATCAACAATTGAATCTAAAAAACAAAATAAATAAATCTAATGAACAGAATAAACTGGTGAATAAAATACAATCAGAGGATTGGAAATGAAGTGAACTGACAATTCTCAGAGGGAAGGGGGATTGGGAGATGGGAAGAGGTTAAGCAAACATCTTGTATAGACATATGCATTACCTATGGACACAGACAACTGGGTGGCAAAGGCTGCAGGGCGGGGTGGGAACTGGGTGGGGAGGGGTAATGAGGGAAAAAAGAGGTACATCTGTAATAATCTTGGCAATAAAGGTTAAAAAAAATAATTTAAATAAATACAAACATATATGTACTGCTCAGATACAAAACCCCTAACTTGCAAAAGGACTGAGAACTTTATTTCCAGTGTTCCGTTGCACTTGCTATGTTTCCCATGGAAAATGTTATAAAATGTAGTATGCTCTATACACGATTGATACTGCAGTTCATTCATATTAGGGGTTAAAGGAGCATTTGTTTTCTGGCCTGGGAATCTAACTCCCAATTGTAACCTTGTTTCAATGGGCAGATGTGTTCTGAATTCTAAATGACTTCCAAGTGACTTTCTGGAATACTTATTACTTGGGGACTGCCTTCACATTCAATAAAGTTCATCTGGTGGAACACTGGAGGTAACCACAGCCTAGAATTTATTGTATCAATTTTCTTTAAAAATAATTCAATTCATCAAGCACCTTTTGCAGCCAGATCCTTGTCAGCTCCCTGAGATCGTCCAATGAGCTCTTCTCCACGGCGCTTCAGAGCTTCAAAGGAAGGCTGAAGTTTTTCTAGCTCCATGGTGGCACTCTTATTGTCACTGATGCACTCTCTGATCTTGTCGACTTCAGCAGGGATCAGTGGTGGCATACGCAAGCGCGAGGAAAGGTTCCCCAGAGTCTCCAACATGGGCTCGATTTTATCATGGAACTGAATAAATGTCAGACCATTAGCCACAGCAATACTTCATCACACTTCTGGGGGAAATGTTAGGGGATAAGGTCAAGGTATAAATCTACTACTGTCTAGGAGAAACTGCACAGAGCCTAGCCTGACAGCTATTGGGGTTGGCTAATTGTACACCAGAGCTGGCCCATCAGAATAATAAAATAATTTTTTAGTAATATACCAGAAATGTGACGAGAAAGAGACAACACTTTGAAACTGGTAAGACTCAGTGTGTCAACATCTCAGATGATAGTTGCATGCAATAGGTTAGACCAACAAGTTAGGTGCTCTCCACCAACTATGTAAATGAATGGGGAACTCAATATGCTCAATGACTTGGAGTTGAAGTTATAGCATGCAATTTAATAACCACCAAATATGACAGTGAGAAAGGAAAATGTTGGCACAATGAGAAGTAATTAAAGAAGGCCAAATCTAACCTTTTTCTAAAAGAATAACTATCTTTCCACTTTTCTGGTACTTTGAATAACGTGAATATAATTGTAAAATTTCACTTACAATCTGAAGCAGAGAGAGAAGAAAGAGGGGCAAAACAGGTAAGCTTATCTCCCCTTAAAAAAAAAGCTATCTAAAACCAACTCTGGATTCATTAATCAGAATAAATTCTATAACTGTAAGTGTCCTATAAGAAATACATGGTGGACTTCCTTAACAAAATCACTTCTCATCACTCCCTCACTTCTAGGTTCCATCCCAAATGAAACTGACATAATAAACGGCACTAATAAAATGTATCTCACTGAAGTAAAGGGAAATTTCCTGATAGGTAATCCTCAATTCTCAGCTTCGTAAAAATACCCTAATCCCAGAGGGAGTGAGTACCTTACCTCTGTAATCTGTAATGGTGGGCGCGGTCAACACAACAATGAAATGTGACGATGTGGGGAAGACAGGAGCAGGCAGCAACAACACAAAGTAACACATTCCACAATGTGAGTGGGAGATGGGACGGAAGGTGGAGGGGGGAAAAACTTGAGTAAGTACAAGTATTAACCAAGAATATTGACTAAACAGGAATAAAATACCCAGACATCACAAAAGTACCACTAACAGTAATATATTAGTTAAAAGTATGTAGTTACATGCATCAACTGCACTACTCCACTGTGGTTTCTTTCTCTTTGGCTCTTCTCTCTACCCAAGCACCTTTCTTTGAGTTAGGAGAGAGCTGGTGGCTTCCTGGGTAAGAGATCTAATGTGCTATCTTCTAAGTCTCAAAAGTAACAGGTCCAGCCGAAGCCGGTTTGGTTCAGTGGTAGAGCGTCGGTCTGAGGACTGAAAGGTCCCAGGTTCGATTCCTGTCAGGGGCATGTACATTGGTTGCGGGCACATCCCCGGTGGAGGGTGTGCAGGAGGCAGCTAATTGATGTTTCTCTCTCACTGACGTTTCTAGCTCTCTATCTCTCTCCCTTCCTCTCTGTAAAAAAATCAATAAAATATATTTTAAAAAAAGAAAAAGAAAAAAAAGAAACCCAGTCTTTATAAAAAAAAAAAAAAAAAGTAACAGGTCCAATAGGAATACGACTTTTCTTTAGGCATGTGTTGTTTCAGGGTGAATTTACCCAGAACTATCCTTGCTAAAGGATCATCACAATATAGAATTCTCAAGGAAACTATCAACAGACAATATGTGTCAATTAAGACACATTTTATCCTCCTTGTAGCGCAAGCATACCCACGATCTTGCAATAAAAATGCAGACCAACAAGGTTCCTAGTCTCTGGTTATGTACCATCAGCAGGATGGTCTTAGAGACTCCTGAGCATGGAGGTGTATCTGCTACAGAAACACCTTGCTTAGACTAAAGGACCATTGAAGGTTATATGAGTTTAAGACACACACGTACCTGAGCTGACTGGGAAACAGCCTCGTCCAGAGCCAGAGCCCGCTGGCGCACCTCCTCTTTAATTTGGGCATATGTGTTTTCTGCTTTCTGGTATTTTTCTCCCACCATTTCACCCTCTTCAGGATTTAACTCCTTTAGTTGAGGACCTATCTTTAGCAGTTTATCAATATGTGGTTTGTGTTCAGCAATGGATTCCCTTAGTTGCTATTTAAAGAAATATGGATTAAAATAAGCATTTTTATACGTTTATTTGCTTAAGTGCTTTTTTTCTTTATTGATTAAGATTATTACATATGTGTCCGTATCCCCCCTCCCCTCTCTGCCCTACCCTCATGTGCTTTGATCAGAGCTCATACCAACTTTGAAAAAACAAACCAAGTAACTAAATCCCAGCATTTCATCATTTACGGAGGGGGAAAACGCCTAAGTTTTGGGCTCTGACACTACGCGATTCTCTCATTTGTTAAAACCCAGTCCGGAAGCCTTCCCAGGCCACATCCTCTAACTCTCACCCTCCAAGGCAAATTTATCTCACCATCTTCAACACTCATAAATATTTAAATGTAGTAATTGTAATTTCCATTGTTTAATATCTGTCTTCCTCCCAAGACAGAGATACTAAGCAGGAAAAGCTACAAATAGCAACATTTCTGATAATCCAACCTCTTCTTGACTTTACTACTGACTACTTCTGGTTTACATCCTTCCACTTACAGGAATACAGAGATAGGAATAAGCACAAGCCATAAACCAAATTAAAAAAAAAACATTAAAAAAGTATCTTTTAAATGTGGTCATAGCATTCCTTGATGTGTCCACAAATCTCCCTTTCATCTTATCTACTTGCAGCAAATGCTTTATGACAGTCCTTCCTGGCTCTCACTCACTCCAGCTGGGATCTAACCAATGGAAAGAGCACCAACCACACCCTAAGTCTAACAATATCCCATTGTCATTGGGAAGATGTTAAATTCCCTTGATGTTTACTCCTGCGATACCTAGGTTCCTGATATCTATATTCTTCACCTGATTCATATTAAAGGAGAAAAGAAATAATTCAGATATTTATTTTTATTATGCAAAGAAATTCTAACTGATAAAGATTTTCTTAATATAAACTTGAATAGAACATGGAGCCCATTTTCATTTTTGCAATTAAATAAAATGAGGCATATTCCTTACCCTCATTTCCTCCTGCTGTTGCCTGAGCTGCTCATGATCAATAGCTGGAGGAGGTAATTGTGCTATCAATACCCGAGTTTCCTCAATCCAGGGGCTGAGCTCCTCATAAGTTTCCCAAAACTGGTTCACCAAGACTTGTGCCCGTTCAAGGCGGGCATAACGCTCTGAGTTGAGCAGACTTATGGCTTCATATTGCTGTATTAGAGACTCCGTCTTTTCCTATGAACAACAAAAAAAGTAGGTTTATATACATTAAAAAGTCTAAAGAAATAAATAAAATGTTAAAATATATGAACTAATAATCTAGTAAGATTGCAACTGATTTTTATTTTCTTTATTTTTTTATTTTTAAAAAAAAGTATATTTTATTGATTTTTTACAGAGCGGAAGGGAGAGAAATAGAGAGCTAGAAACATTGATGAGAGAGAAACATCGACCAGCTGCCTCCTGCACACCCCCCACCAGGGATGTGCCCGCAACCAGGGTACATGCCCAGGAATCAAACTTGGGACCTTTCAGTCCGCAGTTAATGCTTTATCAACTGAGCCAAACCGGTTTCAGCAACTTACAAATATTTCTAAGAAAATGATTACCTATACCTTATCTATACTAATCTACACTAATAAAAGAGAAACATGCAAGTTACTGTCACTCCGCCACGCTACTAGCCAATCAGAGTGAGTATGCAAATTAACATGAAAACATGATGGCAGCAGCCCCCTCACCCCCAGCCATTCAAGGCCTATGGAGGTCGGAGAAGTTGGGCACCAGTGTCTGAGGCTGGCTGAAGCCGAGGGGACGAAGAAGCTGCCTGCCCCTGATCCCAGGCCACAGACAGAAGCAGAAGCCTCACATCCACCTGCCCCATGCCTGCCCCATGTCCTGGGGGAGACGGAGAAACCAGGCCCCAGCGCCTGAGGCTGGGTATGGCCCAGGAGACTAAGAAGCCGCCTGCTCCCTGATCCCAGGCCATAACCAACTGGAGAAGTTGCTCACACTGCATCTTAGGGAAGATGGAGAAGCTGCCCGCCTGAAGTCCAGGCACCAGCACCTGCGGCTGGCTACAGTCTGGTAAATGGAGAAGCCTCTCACCTTGCAGTCCCAGGCACCAGAATTTGCCGCTGCAGCCCAGGTAAAGCCACCTGCCCACCATCCCCTGTGGCTGTAGCTGGCCTGGGCACCTATGGCTGACCAAAGGGAGGGAGGCCCGGATTATGGGTGCCTGTGGTCAGCTGGAGGAGGGAATCATCATGGGTCCTGGATGCTGGGTGGAGGCAGAGGTGGTTAAGGGCAGTCAAGCCAGCAGGGGAGCAGTTAGGGGCAATCAGGCTGGCAGGTGAGCAGTTAGGAGCAGCAGTTCTGGATTGTGAGAGAGATGTCTGACTGCCGGTTATCCCCTGAGGGGTTCCACATTGGAGAGGGTGCAGTCCGGGCTGAGGGACACCCTTCCCCTCCCTTCTTCCCCCCATGCATGAATTTCATGCTCTGGGCCACTGGTAAAAGGATAACATGCTAATTAGGTTGGAGATCTTCTGGACAACCTTCCGATGTCCTTCTGGACAAAGCTGCGGTGGTTGTGAGGGTCAAGGCTCAGGCAGCCAGGGACAAAGGGCCAAGGTGTGGTGGCAAAGGGCCCAGGATCCGGCTGGCAGTGGCAGCAGCAGCAGGGTAATGAGGGCAGCACCTTCCGCTGATCCACCAGGTTGCCTCCCGCAGCTTAGGCCAAGGGCCAAGGCAGAGGCGGTTAGGGGCAATCAGGCCGGCAATGGGGGCAAAGTAGGGGCGATCAGGCCAGCAGGCAGAGGCAGTTAGCCTAAACCAGCTGTTGGACATCATCTGAGTGGTCCCAGATTGGCTGGGCTGAAGGACCCCTCCTCCTGTGCATGAATTTTGTGCACCAGGCCTCTACTATAAAAATAAAACTGGTGTACAAACTAACTCATGGCCAAGCTTTTAGAAATGGGTGTAATCTTTAGGATCTAAAGAAAAAATATCTGCATATGATTTCAAAAAATCTATCAGATTTTTGAAAGGTAACTCAAAGTCACTCATTATTAGTAATGAAGGAAGAAAACTGTAACTTAACCTTCTTAAAAGTATTATTTTACAACTGTACTTTTAATTCATGGCAATCAAGACAAGAATATGGTGAAAAAACAAATGCAATTCACCTGTAATACAGCTTTTTGCTCCTCTCCACATGTGCCAAAGATTTCACCACGATGACTGAAGAGTTCATCCATTGAATCTTTGTGTCGAATGATGTCAATGGAGAAAGCCTTTGAGAAAAGTAAATTACAACTTAAATCAAGAAGTAAAAGGATCCCAAGTCTGTGTCAGTGAACATACCTATGAAAAATTCTTCTTTAAAAAGGCCACATCAAAAATTGTTCTTGTCTAGTCTGACACTCTGCCTATCCATACATATTCAATGCTTATCTTTTAATAGTTTACAAAAATATTTTTCCTCATGAAAATCATTCATAAAATTATTAACTTTTCCTAGATTAATGAGCCTATTTTTACCTTTTCACAAAGCAAAAAAACTCTTACGCATCCTAACCAAATATTTATAAAATTAATCTCCATCCACCATCACGACATTACATCATTCTACAATACTTGACTTGGAACAGTGGTCAGACACTCTCTCCTAGTCACTCTAAGCTAAGCTAATTATACTAGCTCAGGACATAATGGATATGCCAGTGTTACACTTACCTTCTGTACCTGCAGTTGTGCTGTGGTCTGGTCCTGTTCCAGACGAATTGGACCAAGGGCCATCAGTTTCCGTTTTGTTTCAGCAACCCAAGCTAGTTCTGCATCAGCAGCTTGCTCATACTAATAGACATATTGAAGAAAAATAACCATGTTATATAGAGCGAGGGCATTCCTTCTTAGAATTCAAATCAAAATGCAAACAATTTAGAATTGTTTATACTTCAACAATGTGAGTTGATCCTATTTCAACTTCTTTAGTAAGAAGTTACAGAACCTACAGCTAGAAACAACAATGGTCCCACAGTTAGTATACTTCTAATCTGTTGTAATAAGGCTGTGTTCTTTCTGTCAATCCTTCTGCCTATCCATACATTTAAAAGGTTTTGTCATGTTTAAATATAAACTAACATGGCAGCAGACAGCTGAGTCAAGTTAACTTGGAAGTACTCCCTCAGCTGGAGAAGCAAACCTTTAAAAAGTTAAGAAGTGACAAAGAGAAACTAAGAACATATTCTACTTGACTGCTGTTTGATCTGGGTCCTTGAATCTTTTATCTCTACTCTTCAACTCTGCCAATCTACACTAATATTTAAAGAGAAAAGAAAGCTCTCAAGCATGATAATTTTATGCTCAATTATCTGGCTAAGATTAGAGATATTTATCAAGACATACTGGAATGCACTTGCAGTCAGAGCAAACTTCTGTGTGGTTCACAGAGCAATTATTTATCACTATGAACCCAAGAAATCATGTAATATTATTTTTATACCATGCATATTAATTAGATGCATATCCTGCTACAAAGAAAAGCCAGTAACTTTTTCAAGAAAGTGGGGAGGGAAAAAGATGGAGTGCAATATGATACCTGTGTTTACTTGGGAGGGTACTATTTTGGATGGCTCTGCTATTTTGGTTGGCATATTTGATAGTAATTATAGTTCTTGGTTCCCTCCCTCTTCCATCTAATGCTAAACAGTAGAGTATGACAAACTAAGATTGTGATGCATTTGCATCTTGTGGTCTAGGTATAATCTACACCCATTACCACCTACCTTGTTCAGGGCATTAGCTAAGGAGAAGGCAGCAATTAGACTCTTCCCAAAGTTCTCTGCTCAAAGGGGTCAAATAATTTGGGTCAAATCAAATCCATCCTTACATACCTTTACTCAATTACTTCTCATCACTGAAATTATTGCATTGGATTTACCTCCATCTCATTTTTTCTATTCCTGAACCTATATTTATGTGGGTCATAGTTTTGTATTTCATACACGTTTTCACTGCCTGATACAATAATGCAGAGGTGTTTATAAACATTACCTGTTGTGATCTCTGAATAGCAGCATCAATCTCCTCTACCCTTTGTCCAACAGTGTCGCTGACCAGCTTGTACTGCTCATTAGCATCCGACACAAGTTTATCCAGCCCTTCTCTGGCTCTCCAGGGCACCAGCTCTAAGAGCGCACGGCTCACCTCATTCACCGTGTCCAACACCAGCCTGTGCTCCATGACCTCTTTCTTTAATTCCTAAGGAGGGGAAAAAGTTTTCAGGCCAGACCTTGCTAAATTCAGCACATTAGCAGCTGTGCTGGGTGGAAAAGTGGTGTCTCTGCCACATATCCCAACAGGGCTTTGACCTCCTTCCTTTACTTATTTTTCTGTCTCAGATTTTTCAATCGTTCCAAGCCTGATTTTAGGCTTAGCTGCTGCTTAGGACTGTCTGTACTTCTTGAGCCAAACTCTCTTTGCATAAAACTATTAGTGCTTCTTTCTTTTTTCTCCTTAACTCAGTGCTTTGCTCCTAGGCATTTTAAGTACCTATTTCTGTGCATCCAGAACTTCATTAGATCCTGGCAAGAGAATCAAACATAACCAAGCAGCACGCTTTAGCAAATGAATCATAAATTCTAAATGTTTTATACAAAGCAAACTTCCTAGGTTTTTGAGATTCACTTAAAAAAATTATATATATATATTTAAGTTGACTTTAGAGAGGAAGGGAGAGGGAGAGAGATAGAAACATCAATGATGAGAATCATTGATTGACTGCCTCCTGTACGCCCCCCACTGGGGATTGAGCCCTCAACCCAGGTATGTGCCCCTGACCAGCATCGAACATGAGACCCTTTAGCCAACAGGCTGATGCTTCTCTATCCACTGAGCCAAACCAGCTAGGGCGATATTCATTTTTTCTTTCCTTTTTCCGACATAACAAGTGGTCTGCCTTTATGTACAGTCTTACTGTCCATGAGTAAATAAGAAAGGAGGCAAACAAAATTTTTTGGTTCAGATTTAAGGTAGAATTAGTGATAAAACTTAAGAATTTAAATGCAAGAATTTTTAAGAGGAATCCTCTTCCTTTTAGTGTGAAATGACAGCTTACCTTCTGTCTTTGCTGAAACTGGGGTATTTGCTCCCCTGTGGGAGACTGTCCTCCACTGGCTGCCAGCTCCTCCTCCACTTCCCTCAGCCACCCAGTCAGTTCCTCATAAGTAGACTGGAACTTGGTGGCCAGCTGCCGGGCTTGCTCTAAAGTTCTGAGGGCCTTGGAGCTAGTGACTGTGATGTCTGCATAGCGAGTCTTTATTCCATCTAGTTTCTCTTGGATAAGCAAAACCTCTTCACCTGTGGGAAAGCACACACAATTATTCATGTTTAAGAGAACATGAGGGAGTCTTCTAGAGATGAGCAAGTTCCTTAATCCTCCTTTCTTCAAACCAGAGCTTACATTTTATAGATGCTCTCTTCCTACGATAGCGATTTCACCTAGCATCCCACACTAAGACAGGAGGGAAATACAATAAATGTTTTAATCAAAAAGAAGCCACTTCTATCCAGAGACATGGAACAGAATGCGGAATCTCCGGGGGAAGGTGGGGGAGGGTGGGTGGGTGGGAGGTAATCAACTTTGTATGCATATATGTATAACCCATGGACACAGACAATGCGTGAAGGCCTGGGACAGTGGGCTGGGGACAGGGGAGAGCTAGGGGGAAGGGGGAGAGAAAAGGGGAGGAAAAGGGACATATTTAATACTTTCAACAATAAAAAATTATTTTTAAAAATAATCAAGAAGCCACTTCTGAGATTATTAGGATCAGAGTTCATCTAGAGGTGTTTCTAGACATTCCCCAAACCTTTCAGTGAATGCTGGCATTCAACACATTAGAGGATGGGGGAGTCATCATCTATAAGCAGATATGTCTTTTAGTTTTCAAAAGGGTTAGCAGGAAATAGAAACCCAGGCTGTTGGCTGACAGGAGTCAGGGAAGCACACACAATGGGGACAAGGTAACATAAACAGTGAATACTAAACTTCTATATCCAAAGAGAAGTGGCTAATGCAGGGTGCTATTTCCCTGGATATGTGATTGCCTATAAACATGTAAAGGTGCTAAGAGATGAACTTTTCAAAGTACCTGTGGTTTGTTTTAGAAGAGCCTGACCATTTTTAATAGCTTGATCTACATTCTTCTTTCTATTAATAATTTCTTCATTTAAAGCCTGAAAGGAAAGAATACCATTAATCCTAAAACTATGACACAAAAAAGGGAGAGAAATGAGACCTTTAAGAGATGAAATTTAAAGTAAGGAGAAGAATACCAGTTTAGTTAGAACATCAGATATTTGACTCATTATCTCTTTGGTTACACCATTAATTATTCAAGATAATTAAATCAGATACTTATAGGCAAGCTTTCTTTTGTACTGGATGAAAAGAATTTTAGGATTAAATCAACTTTACAATCTATTGCTACCAAACCTGAACCTAAGAAAGGTAGAACAGAATTCAGAAAAATATCTACTATATCCAAAACAAAGAATAAAAAAAAAGAAAAAAAAGAATAAGACAGAAATTTCAAAAAAAGAAAGTCAGCAAGAAGTAAGCAGATTTAAATCCTGATTAAAAACTTTCAATATTTGGCCGGGACCGGTTTGGCTCAATGGATAGAGCGTCGGCTTGGGGACTGAAGGGTCCCGGGTTCGATTCCGGTCAAGGGCATGTACCTTGGTTGCGGGCATATCCCCAGTGGAAGGTGTGCAAGAGGCAGCTGATCGATGACTCTCTCTCTCATTGATGTTTCTAACTCTCTCTCTCCCTTCCTCTCTGTATAAAATCAATAAAAAATATATTAAAAAAAAACTTTCAATATTTGAAATAAATGAAGAATTTTAGATGATCAAAAAACAACAACAAAACCCCCCTGCTTTGCCTATTTTGACCATCCCCAAAGAAATTTCATGAAATGAATTTCATTTGATGAAATGAAAAGGGCAAATTATTCTAAGATGACGCAGAACCCCAGGAATTTGATCATATAAATTCTAGAAATATTTTTAAAGTTATAGCTATATGATCAAACCTTGGGAGCTATTGAGGCAATCTGGTTTTATGAAAGCTTCTGTTCGAATGGAAACTGGGTGAGATACATTACCTAAGGATGTAAAACTTGAATTGGAATTGAGATGGCCCCTGACTACACTCTGATCATCTTCTAGAATTACTGATTCAGTTTAAGTACAAGTATTCCCGTGGACTTGTCAGAAAATAGATTAGTTCTAAGCAACGAGTATGCACTTGTATATAAAGTTGAAATGGTAGGAATAAAAAAGCAAATAAATGAAGAGAAACATGGATCAAAATTATAAAATAACTGATAACATAAACAATAAGAATGGAAAACATGAATACCAGGTGGTCAGCATGCTGTTTCTGCAGGACATCCTGTCTGTAATCCTTTACGAACACTGAACTGAGCTTGTCCTCAACCTCAGCCAGCCAGTTGAGCACCTCCACCTCATCCTCCCCGAACAGCCTAGCGTTAAACAGTGCTTGTTCAAGCAGGGCTGCTTTCCGACAGCACCGGTCTTGAATCTCACTGTACCGGGCCCGCAATGAGTCTAGCTTTTCTGAGAGCACACTCTGTTCTGCAGACCATGTCAGGGAGGAGAGGGACTGCCCGATTTTGACTGCCTGCTGCACATCTGTGGAATGGCTTTCTATTTCCTCCTCCAGAGCCTGGAAATCCAAATGGAAAAAATGAATAACAGAAACAAAATAAATGAAAAGTAAACATGAAACAATGAACAACAAGTGATGTAATAAATTAATAATACAAAAAGTTTACCTATTGAAGGGCAAAAATAACACAATAGCTGGGTTTTTTTGTTTGTTTTTTTTTAATGATGGTAGCATATTAGTATCTATCAAGGATGTGACTACTCCAATTAATAATTTGACCATGTTTTAAATTTACCACCCCCCTCGAAATAACACATCTTGTTGCAGGCAGTTTTCCAATTTCCAGGATTTCTGATTCCATTTCTTTGTTTTCATTTACCAAAACTGCTTCCTACCTTGTGGCGAATGATCTGCTGCTGTATTTTGGCAGTCTGAGTGCCAACAGGTTCTGAGTTAGCAAGCTTTTTCTCTGTGACAGTTAAGAAGTCAGAAATAGGCTCAGCTGTCTCATGAAACTGTTTGGCCAGAACCAGGATATCTTCCAGCTGTTTATGCCTACACAAATATACAGAACAAGCTGCTAAGGTAGAAAGTCACATTAAGATGGGTAACAGTACTATAGTCAATAAAAGATCAATCTTTACTAGGTACATTTTAAATATCAATACTAAACAGAATACACATATATAGCACTTTTCATAAGCATTACCTTTATTTTGATTCTGCCATAATTTAGTAGTGCAGGAGAATAACTATCTCACTATTCTCAAAGAGAGAACCGTACAGAAAGATCCCTCCATGGCACCGAGTGAATAGAAATAGTACCATCAGAATGAGAATCAGACCTTCTAATACTTTCTCCTATGCAATGTAGCTCATGCATCATCTGAACATGAGACTAAATTAAAGTTTAAACAAGTCGAAAAATCACCAGTCCTCATTTTTTTCTCTGTCACTACTACCTTCACTTTGTGAGTGAAGAGAAGAAAGTATTTGAAATGTGAAGGCAGACTATGAACTAGAACTCCCTTCCCACCTCCCTAAATCCAGTAAGGCTTCTAGTAATTTAAAGTCCCAGGATATAACTTTGAATCTAGATTTAAGGAAAAAACAAACAAACAAACAAATCCCAGATTAGCTAAATTTGCCAACACAAATGGCAGAACTATGGACTTTAAAGAGCTCATTTGAAATGTTAAGTTTTATTTTATATAACATCCATAATTAGCTTGGATTTCAAGTTTCTTATAGATGAAAAACAGCAGATTACAAAGGGGAGGGAAGCCTGAATATTGGAGGCAGTCTAGTATGGAAAACCACCACAGAACTCTATTAGCATATACTACCTAATAAAAGAGTAATATGCTAATCAACCACCACTCCGCTACACCCAACCCACAAGCCACGCCCACCAGCCAATCAAAGCGAGTATGCAAATAAACCCAACCAAGATGGCTACAGCCACAGAGAGCAGGAGGGAGGCTTGGGTTTCCCCAGCAATGCAGGAAGCCAAGCTTTCTGCCTGCCCCTGCCTGCCTAGGCCTCCACTCAGGGCTACGAAGTTTCAAGTATAGAAGGTAAATAAATTCCAGATACCAGGGCCTCCACTTGGGTCGCCAGGGGGCATGGCTGGCCTGCAAATCACCAGATTGGAGAGGGTGCAGGTTGGGCTGAGGGACCGCCCCCCTGTACGAATTTCTTGCACCGGGCCTCTAATAGATTAATAATAAAGGCAAAGTGATACTTTGAATCATTAAGAATAGGTTAAATGCTATTTCACATTTGAAAAGGCCTAGGAGCATAGGATGCACTTTATTTTTATTTTTTAAAATATATTTTATTGATTTTTTACAGAGAGAAAGAGAGAGGGATAGAGAGTTAGAAACATCGATGAGAGAGAATCATCGATCAGCTGCCTCTTGCACACCCCCTACTGGGGATGTGCCTGCAACCCAGGTACATGGCCCTTGACCAGAATCGAACCCGAGACCCTTCAGTCCGCAGGCTGAGGCTCTATCCACTGAGCCAAATCGGTTTCGGCAGGATGCACTTTAGTTCAGCAAGCCTTTATTGAGCAACTACTTAGTGCCAGGTCCGATGGACAAACTGTGTGTGTGTGTGTGTTAAATTGACTTTTAGAGAGAGAAAGTAAACATGGATTTGTTGCTCTACTATTATGTATTTATTGGTTGATTCTAATATGTACCTTGATTGGAGATCGAACCCGCAACCTTGATGTATCAGGATGATGCTCTAATCAACTGAGCTACCCAGCAAGAGCCTGGACAAACTTATTTTAATAAGAAATAGTTTAGTGCTCGCTTCGGCAGCACATATACTAAAAAAAGAAATAGTTTAAATATAAATAGTTGCCATTTTATAGGCAAATTTATTTTTAGATGCCATTTTTAAGTATCATTACAAAGTATAGAATTTTCTTTATTTATGCCAGCCTTCAAAATATATCTTTAATTAATACAACAAAACATATTATTTTAAAGATTAATACTAAACTAGAATTGCGACTAATTTCTATGTCTTTCTAACTCATCTCTAATTTTGAATCTGAAAGTTTGAAGAACTCAATGTACAGAGGACTTAGAGTAGCAAAGAGAATAGCTAACATAATTTAGAGGCATCAAAAATACAGTATTAAAAATTGAAATAAAAGTCTTTAGAATGTCTATAGCAAATGAAGCTGCTCTTCGCATTTTTCTTTAAAAGAATGGCCTAGAAACTGGGTTATGCTAGTATGATAAAACTGGTTAGGGTAGAAGGTGAATCATAAAAAGATACATTAGAAACAAATCATGAGTTTAGTAAACTTATGGACCTGGGAGATAAGCACTACATAAAAAATGACCATAATAGTACAAGCACTGATAGAGTTATGACAATTAGGAGGAAGGTGAGGTTATTCATACTTAAGGAATAAGGAAAAGCTTTATAGAAGGGAAGATGGCCAAAAGTATTTCATGGAAGATGCAGAACCACCAACCAAGAAAGAACGAGGAAACTGATAGAAGATACTGGAGAACAAAATATGATTTTCTTTACCTACAATATAAGGACTGAGAAGAATAATGAAAACTAAGAAAGATAAGTTAAGGCCAAAGAGTAGAAAGCTTTGAATATTGGGTTAAATAGTTCAGATTTTATTTATAGGCAACAGGGAGTCATTAAATGTCTTTGAGCATGGGAAGAGACAAAATCCTGAGGGTAAGTGACAGTAGAGTGCTGAGTGCTGAGTTTGGAAGCTACCTCAGATGAGCTACTCATGTGAACCAGTCTAAGTGAAAACACATTAAGTCATGAACTGAGGTATGTGACTAGAAATAAATAGAATTTAGCAACCTGGTAGGTGTGAGACACAAAGTTGGGGCAGGTGGGAAGGGTAACAATTGGGTTGGGGTTTTAGGCCTAGATAACTGGAAGATTAATGGCAATATTGGTGAAAATGTACGGAGAGAGAAGAAAAGCAGTGCAGTCTGGAAATAAAAATAAGTATCTGAGTTGCAAACTCAGGTAAGAAATAAATCAGCCAGCCCTTGCTGGGTAACTCAGTTGATTGGAGCATTGTCCCCATGCACCAAGCTTATGGGTTCAAGTCCTGGTCAGGGCACATACAAGAGGCAATGAATGCACAAATAAGTGGAACAACAGGTTGGTGTTTCTCTCTCATTCTCACTCTCCTCCTTTCTCTCTCTCAAATCAATAAAAATTTAAGAGAAAGAAAGAAGTAAGCCAAAAGCAGGTAGAAGTAAAGAGACTGAAGTGGAAGTTATCCGAAGACTGCCACTGGCTATCTAGACAATTGAATGGCTACAATAATAAATGATCATCTCTATTACTCTCATAATGATTTCTGATTAGCTAACATTTATTCATTCATTCATTCATTTATTCATTTATTTATTTTAGCTAGCATTTATTTTTAAAACTGGGAACTGTATATGCTAAAAGTAAAGACATCCGTATTTAGCTTATTAAGCTCAATAATAAGCTTATTAAGCTTATTAAGACTTATTAAGCTCAAGTGACACTGGGGTAACTAAGAGCTCTGGAAAGAGAAAGCACTTCCTGTCTTTTGGCCATTTACTGAAGTCAAGTTCATGCATTTCTTGAATGCATACATGTAACAGAACCACAGACTAGGTCCTCGATGCAAAATACATGTAATATTAGAAAAAGCTGACAGAAAGAAATAGTATAAATTTCAATTCCAAGTATCAAAAACATTATTTAAAATATGAAGGGAAAAGATCTGTTTCAAATACTACTCAGAAAATAACCTGAGTTGTAGGAGTCTGTGTCTTGTCATTTGGAACCATGACTATCTGCAGTAGAATAAGAGAGAGCAATGAATCTCCCAGTTCTGAGGAATGTATGCAGGAGTTAAGGCTCATTTCTGAGAGTGTTTTTATTATGAGCATCACCTCTAAGAATGTATTGCTTTTCAAGGTATAAGCCATTCCAAAGCACTGCAGAAGCACCCAGGAGCTTTCAGAGCACCCAGTGATACAGCCAACCTTCCCGACCCATTCTTAAAATCACTGTGGCTTTACCTGGCTGCTGCCTTGCTGAGTAGTCCAGTCCATCTACGTTCCAGATTCTCCAACTGTCCAGTGATTTTCTCTCTGTCAGCCAGCTCAGCTGACTGGGCAATTCTACCTCCTTCTGCTTGAAGCATGTCTACTGTGGCCTTTCGATCATCTAGGAGTCGCTGAAGCAACTATTTTACACATGTTTAAAGAGAATGGAAAGTGATAACATGGGGTCACTTTAAGAATAAACAAATAAACAAAAAAACCAAATCCTACCCCACCAAATCCTAAGCTTACTTGAATAACCGAAGGTGTTTTTTCCCACCTGAGGCAAAAACATAAGATATACAGCATAGTTCCTGCTATCTATGTTAACTTTTCATATACTTAACTTTTTAAATAGAGCAGTGAACTGCCATTATGTGACTAAGAGGAAACTTACTTTGAACTAGGAGAAAAATATACTGAAATTAAAACTAAGCCAAAAAACACACACCCCTGTCTAGATAGAACATTATACACGATAAATACATTATTTAGAATATCACTGACTCTGAAAACACCAAAAACCTTTTAAGATAAAGGTGTGACTGAAATATTGAAACAGGATACATGAATATGTAAAAGTATTCAGTCCAATACATGCCACAGTAAGCTAGTACATTAAGGTAAGATGATAAAAATAAATTCCTACCTTTTCAGGATCATACAAAGTATGTGAGGATTTTACTAAAACTCCTGACCTTAATGCTCCTTAAAATATAAGCAAAGGTGTTGTCTGCATTCTCTGTGGCTGTTACAATTCACTGCCTCAACATTCCCACTTACCTTCTGTTCTTGGATCTGTGCTTTCACCACTTTATACTCAGCAGATGGAGGTTTCTGATTGGCTATGAGCTCCTCAGTGTCTGCCAACCAGCTGAGCAATGGCTCCAAGGCATCTTGAAACTTCCCACAATGCAACAAAGCCTCCTGTAGTTGTGCAATTCTTTGTGCAACCTGTATCACAGACATGGAGGCTCATTATAAGAAGGGAGCTTTTAAATTACTACTGACCCCTTTACATAACTACAGATTGCAACTGCTAAATTTTTACTTATAATATGTTCAGGGAAATCTTAGATTTAGATGTCCCTTTTCTTTGTCCTCCATTCCCAGTATACTTGTTACTCCCTGCACTCCCCCATCACTTACCTTTTTATTCAGTGTGTTCCATCGAACATTGATCTCTTCCATGTCATGTTCCAAACCCTGCACATCACAGTTTTTCCCAGCACTCTGAATCAATCCCTGGCCAAGTCCATTCACCTGCTGTAATTTCATCTGAAGAGGATCCACCTGTTCTTTCTGAAACATCTAGATAATTGTAAGCCAAAGAAGATTTAATCTCAAGGCAAACAGACCTTCTACAACAAAGCAACAGGTTATTTTTGGGAAATATATGATTTAACAAAGGAGGACAGGAATAGAAAGTGAAAACAAGCCATTATGTATAAGGAAAAAAACATGTGATTTCATACCCCCCCCCTTTTTTTAGAAGGAAGGAGGGACAGAAACATAATGAGGAGAGAAATCATTGATAGGCTGCCTCCTGCATGTCCTCTACCAGGGATTGAGTCTGAAACCCCAGCCATGTGACCTGACTGGGAATTGAACTTGAACCTCCTGGTTCATGGGCCGATGCTCAACCACTGGGCCACACCTGCTGGGTGTAGTTTCATATTTCAATATGACCTCCTATGGACAAATAATTACAGAGCTATTGCACTACTTAGGTCTTTAACCCAATGAATGACTCATAAGGTTCTTTTTCCTCTTTAATCTGTTTGCTTAATTTTTAACGTAAAAATCAATAGAGAAGAGAGAAGCATCAGCCTAAAGATATAAGTAAATGTGATATACAGTATATATCAATTCATAAAGGAAGAATGATACCAAATGACTGCTATTTAAGATTAAAAATACCTTGGGGAACAGCTTTAGGTGACCACTGACTAGGACTAATAACTCAATTGGCCCAAACATATTAACAGAATGAAAAATGCCAACCTCGTAGCTTAATCCCCCTGTGGCCATTTAAATCCATTTTGTTTCAGGGCCACAGACCACACGAAGACAATAATCTTGACACAGTATTTCTCTAATTACAAAGGGAAACGGGCCAGTCCTGGGAAATGTCCTTAACAACTTCAGACACATAACTCTAAGATGCAGATATAAATAAAATATTTTTTAAAATGATATTATATATCCATGATTATCACAAAACAACAGCATTTTAAAACAATGTGAACAAGTGTATGGCAATGTGCATGCTTCTACTGCAGTTACACTCCATTATGACTTAAAAGTTTCTAAAAGAACCAAGGAGGAAAAATAATACTTTTGCCACTTTAAGGAAAATAATGAAATAAATATTTGTCCCTATGATCAGATTTCTTTCAATCATCAGAAAATAAAAATTAGGCATATTTCATCAATCTGGATATTTTCCCACCCTTTTTTCTTCCATAAAAAGTTCCTTCAGTTTCAGTAAGATAGATGAGTCAATTAAGACTGAAGGATGACAGAAAATAGAAAATAAATGTGGGGAGAAAATTTCTTAACCTTGGATAAGACTAATTTTGGCCTATATGAACCCACAGATCACACTAAGATTAAGAAACGGATTATAGAAAGAATGGATAGGCGAGTCACCAGGGAGGGACAGCCCCAGGGGACACTAAAAGAGGAAGGTTTACAAAGGAAATTACCAGTGGGCTTCATTTTATACTATAATTTGATTACACCATATTTTGTTAGGCAACACTACAAGGCAGTTCAGCTAAAAATGACTATTTCCCCACAACAACATGGTTCCCAGAAAAAGCAAGTGCCATGATTCCATTTTGTATTAAAGAATTTTCACTGAAGAAAAGTCAGAGCAGAGGGGGAAACAATAAAACAAGCTTCCATGTTTTAATTGCTTAGGCGCAACAAAATGGTGGTGGTGAGTGGGGGCTGGAAAAGCAAAGGAAACAGACAGCCAAAGAGACAGAGGAAGGACGTGAGTCCACAGAAGAGCCTCCTTTACCAACAATCAAATCTTGTCTCACACCGTGAGTGACATTCATGTTCTTTCTGCGCTGTCTTAATATGGTAGCCAGCAACTCCATGTGGCTATTTAACTAACAATCCCGGTCCTCAGTCACACTATAACCACACTGCATGTGATCCACAGCCACGTGTGGCTAGTGCCTATTACACTTAAGCACAGATAATGAATATATCCGCCTCGGCAAGAAATTGTATTGGATAAGCAAATGTTTAAATATCTTAATCTTTTATATAACAGAGCTAATTCTTTTATTAAAATCTGAACTTACTTTGTGTATGACTATTTCCCATAGAAGCATCAGACTTCTTCCTTTGTTTCTTACCTCCTTTCTCTGGACTGTGTTGACAGACACAGGTATTTTTCTCATCTTTTTGCAGAAAGTTAAACATAGGAAAGCACTTCTAAGTAAATGCTATCTAAATATTTATTTTAAACGCAGTTAACAGAATATTAAAGAGAGTAAATTTGGAAAACACTTGCTCCCTTCTCTTAACTCCCAAATAAAGCTGTTTTGCAAATCCAATGCTTTTAGACACATTAAAATTCCTACTCCTTGGTATTTCAATAGGACTGTGCCATGTTATTAACTAACCAGAGGTGGCAGACATTTCCTACAGCAGAACACTAGTAAAAATGGTTGTGCCATGTAAGTAAGATACACAGAGACATAAAACAGAAAATTTCCCAAAGAATGTCTTAAAACGCCTTTATCTTTGTAATACCATATTCTCTCAGTTTTCATCCTGACAGATCCTTTTTGATGTCCTTTGCTCTTTCTCTTTCTCTTCTAGATCTCCAAATGTTAGTGCCTGGGGGCGGGGATAAAGGAAGAATGACAGTCCTAGGGCCTCTTCTCATTCTATACTCTCTGCTAGGCAATTCTATCCATTCCTAAGGCTTTCAATGTTAACCCTGGTAAATGCTTATGAATTTAAAACTGTACATCCAACTACTTTCTTAACATTGCCATGCAAATGACTCACAGGCACCTTGAACCTAACCATTCCAAAACTGAACAGTACTTTCTACTTTCCTCTCCCCCCCAAACCTGTTCTTCCCTAAATCAATATACTCAGTCGCACAAACCAGAACCTAGAAGCCATCCTCAATATCTCCTCTCCCTCCTTCTTAAAACAGAGGTCATTAAAAGGTCTTGTTGATTCTACCTACAAAATATATCTTGAATCTATTAAACTGTCTTCAGATCTACTTACATCTCTAGTCCAAGCAAACTGGATAATTGCAGTAGCCTAGCAGGTCTCTCTACTCTGTCCTTGAATTCTTAAATCCATTCTACACAAAGTAGCCAATGTGATTTAAAAAAAAAAAAGTTTTTGATTTTAGAGAGAGGTAGGGAGAGGGAGAGCTAGAAATATCAATGATGAGAGAGAATCATTGATCAGCTGTCTCCTTCATGCTCCCCTCTGGGGATCAAGCCAGCAACCCAGGCATGTGCCCTGGTGGAGAACTGAACTGTGACCTCCTTGCTTCAAGGGTGGATGCTCAACCATTAAGCCACACCGGCTGGGCACCAGTGTGATTAAAAAAAATTTAAGCCGAGACGGGCTTGGCTCAATGGATAGAGAGTCGGCTTGGGGACTGAAGGGACCCGGGTTCAATCAAGGGCATGTACCTTGGTTGCAGGCACATCCCCAGTAGGAGGTGTGCAAGAGGCGGCTGATCGATGACTCTCTCTCATCGATGTTTCTAACTCTCTATCTCTCTCTCTTCCTCTCTGTACAAAGTCAATAAAATATATTAAAAAAATTTAAATGTATCTTGCAAATTTTTTTAAAATTTAATATTTTAAAAAAAGTAAATGGAACCACCACTCCCCTACTTAATATCTTTCAATAGCCTCTTATGGTTTTTAAGGTATATCGATACTTTTTTAAGATATAGTTTTATTAATTTCAGAGAAGAAGGAAGAGGGAGGGAGGGAGGGAGGAAGGGAGGAAGGGAGAGAGAGAGAGAGAGAGAGGGGGGGGGGGAAGAGAGAGAGAGATAGAAACATCAATGATGAGAATCACTGATTGGTTGCTCAACCCAGGAATGTGCCCTTGACAGGATCAAACCTGGGACCCTTTAGTTAACAGGTTGATGCTCTATCCATTGAGCCAAACTGACTAGGGCTAAGGTATGATACTTTTGAGGATGTCTTTATTTCTTTTTAAAAATATATATATTTTATTGATTTTTTACAGAGAGGAAGGAAGAGGGATAGAGTTAGAAACATCGATGAGAGAGAAATATCAATCAGCTGCCTCATGCACACCCCCCACTGGGGATGCGCCCGCAACCAAGGTATATGCCCTTTACCAGAATCGAACAGGGACCTTTTAGTCCACAGGCTGACACTCTATCCACTGAGCCAAACCTGTTTTGGCGAGGATGTCTTTCTTAAGTCACTGCATTCTCTCTCTAGATTCACTTCAAGGCACTCTTTCTGAACCCTTGGTCGTTGTGGCCTGGCCCCTTGGTATTTTAGTTCTAACACGCTAAGTTCTTTCCAGCTTCCATTTCCTTTGTCTGGGATGTTCTTCCTTCTGATTCTTTGCTAAGTAACTTCTATTTATCCTTTAGGTTTAGTTTTAAAATCTTTTCCCTGACACCACAATTGAAATTTAATATCTCTCTTATTTCTTATTCACTGAATAAATGAATCATTGTATAGAAACAGTGTTAGGGAAAGCAAACAAATCCATAAAAGTTCTGCAGATCAGCTAAGCATTCAAAGACTGAACTGAGATTCTGGGGCTCTCTGATTTCTGCTTAAAGACTTTTGGGGCAAGTTTTAATTTTATAGAACCTCTATTTTATACACAAGGTATATATATTTCTTCCCCAGTGATTGGAAATAAGACTAATTAAGTCTATAAACGAGAAGAGCATTTAAGTAAGTACAAATTGCTCTCAGTGAGCCTATATCCCACTATAGAAATAGCAGACAAATTCTGACATTTTGCTTCTTTACCAAATTCTCATTATTGCTATTTAAAGCTTACATCTACTTAAACCATGTATACATGCCTACATTTGTACACACACACAGAGGATCTAAAGCAGTTTACTCTAAATCACATTCTCAGTACAATCACTTGTTGAGTTCTAAGTGTTTATGTATAAAAATGACAGGTTCAATTGCCTCTAGAAACCCTGTTGGAAGAAATGAAATCCACAGTTTTCATCTTGCAAAAACTTTTAAAAATCAATTTAGGAAAATTTGTATATTCTATAGTGATATTTATTTTGTTTCAAT